TGTATATTCTTTCAAAAGCTTTAAAAATCTCAATCTTTGCTTTTGTTTATGAGTCATTTATTAAGTCCTACCCTTCGTTGCCAATAGCTTTTCTTTTCCTGCCTGGGAGGCTTTATAACTATAAAATGTTGGTTAGTTTACCCCCTGAAGCATGCAACTTGGATATCCATGTCCCATAGTTTACAGTGTTATTAATGGTCATAAAACTATCAAGTCTCTTTAAGAATTCAGTACACGATCTCATACACTGAGCTTTTGGGCAGTCACAGCTGCAAACTGACTACATGTTGTGTGAAGAAATACCATCCAAATAGAATTACGTTCATTTTATTGAAAAATGGGTTTCTGCAGAAATTCTTATGAAATGTAATTTCAAAAATATCCTACATGCTGATCCAGACTGGTTTTCAAACCCACTTCTCAAATACTAAACAAAGAATCCCTAACAGTCTTTGTGAGGTAGAAAATATTATAATTAAGTCTCCCACGGCAACAGAGGAATTTAATATTGGAGCTGCGATGAGACCACCAAGTGCCATTTTTGGAACACCAGATAAAATCTCTCCCACAGACACAATACATTATATACCTGCTGGGGCCTTACTAATGTTAAACAGTTACTCAGCTTTGTTATGCCATAATTACGCAGCCTTACATCAGACTGCGGGTTTAACACTTTTTGTGCAATAAACTGAGAAGGGAGAAACCCCCCCTCCCCCATTAACACTGAATTGAAACATTTGAGCTCCTTGTGCATCTCTACTGCCACCAACTGTCTGTCTGGCAGTAACTGCATCTGCTTGATCTACAGAAGTACATTCTCATTTTGTTCCAAACATTAGGCAAAATTCGGACTGCCGTGGCATCTAAGTCTGATGCCAGAAAATCTGTGGGTAACAAAGAATTGAAGTGTTGCAACTGTATTCTATCTCCCTACAAAGTCACCCCTTACAGCTTCTATAATAAGAATCACAGAGGGATGTTTGGGGCTGGCTTGTTCTGTGTGTTTAGGGTTGGTAAGACTCTGATCCTGCAAATGGAGTATGCAGCCACACTGATACAGGTTATTTGTGCTCTTAGAAGGAATCATCTGTGGCTGGGAAAGGCCATTGTCAGTCGGAATACAGGGCAGAGGGGTTTTGCAGCATGAAGGATTAGAGAAGAGAGGGGTGTGAGGAAGAGGTAGGGAGCTGTCTTTTTGTATTAAGAATAACCAAATCAGGGCTCATTTTTACTATGTTTTTATTTCCATTGAAGGTGTTCTGGTTACGGCATGAGCTACATAGCTCTTGTGATTTATGCCATCACCTTTTCCCTCTCTCTGAGAGAAAACTAGTCTTGTGCTATTTATTTTGATGGTTCCTTTGCTTTTATACTATTCAGCATCTCCTGAGGCTTACTTTCTAGCACCCCAGGTCAGACAAGACAACAAAATTACCATTAAATATTCGTTCCTACTCTCACCCAAAATGGTTATACTATGGGCAATTGCAGCTGTAAAGGGTTCTACGAGCTAGGCTCTGGTTTGCCACTACCCCAGGCAGTATGGTGCCAGGCTCCTGGGAGAGCTAGCAAAATGATTTGGGGTGTGGTATCATTAACATGCACAGGACATGCAGCTCTAAATCCATCAGACCCAGATGGTGCAGTGTCCACTTTCCTAGTGCCTGGCCAGGACAGGGACTTAGAGCGAGTTGCCTGAGACTCAGTCTAGACAAGACATAGGTGATACTAGTGGGTTGGAACCTGGGGATACAACAGAAGTAGTTCCCGCCCTGTGCCTGAAAGAGATTTTGCTTATCTTTTCTCCAAGATGTTTGCAATTTGGGGGTGCTACTGGTGAAGCTTTTGGCCCAGAGAACCTTTTTTACCTGCATATGGTAAGTAGTGCTCAAATTATGGGGGGAAAATAGGGAGTGGCTTTAATGTAAACAGTAGTGAGAAGTAAGCGGGAGTCATAAGACAGAAGTGAGGTAACCACTAAAAGTAGTATGGGGGCCTGCCCCTCCCTCCCCAGCCCCACCATAATTCAAGCATAGCTGGTAAGACATTTGTGACGTTTTATTTTGGATCAAGAGCCTGCCAAGGAAATACCATACTTTTGTGACTTTTATTGGGATTACTGCAATGTATTTTTCATCTACATGAGCCTATACATGAAGGCCATGTGGAAGTTTTGGTAATGGACAAGGCAACTATATAACTATTAGATGGGTATTACTCAGAGGAAATATTTTACACCAGTTTTTTGTTGACTTTACTGTTCTCACTTTTACTTCTGGGTCCAATTCAAGGTGCTGACTTTGATCTGTAAAGCCCTACAGTACATAGTTTAGATTAGAGCCTGGTTACTTGAGAAGGTGCCTCTCCTCATGTACCACAATGTAAATGTCTTTATGTCACTTACAGAGTATACTATTACCCATGGCACATTTAAATAAGAACAATCATATAACAGTACAATGCCTCCAGCATCTAATAGTAGCCAACACAAACAATCCCAAACGACACCCTCAGAGAAAGCCTGGGTAAACAGACCTTACAATAAGAACAGGAGTACTTGTGGCACCTTAGAGACTAACAAATTTATTAGAGCATAAGCTTTCGTGGGCTACAACCCACTTCTTCGGATGCAACCACTGTGACGGGTTGGATCACAGAAACCCCCTTGGGAGCTGCCACCCGATGTGCCAAGACTACCCCTGCTTCTGTTTTCCCTGCCAGTTCAGGACTCCAGCACCCCGTCTTGCTGAGTCAGACACTCCTGTCTGGCTCTAACACAGACCAAGGATCTGGATCACTTGTCCCAAAGCTGCAAGGTTACCCAAAAACAGCTCACAGGAGTGTGCTTGTCTTTAGCACTCAGATGCCCAACTCCCATCCGAAGAAGTGGGTTGTAGCCCACGAAAGCTTATGCTCTAATAAATTTGTTAGTCTCTAAGGTGCCACAAGTACTCCTGTTCTTTTTGCGGATACAGACTAACACGGCTGCTACTCTGAAACCAGACCTTACAATGTGCCCTTAAAGGCAACTGATTCAGGCTGTCAGATCTCTCCACTGTGAATGCTCTGCAGCCCTTCGTATATGGGCCTGCCCAGCCCTGATTGACTGCTCCTCTCAGCCCTTCTCTGATTGGTTGCCTCCCACACAGGGCTAACCCCTTAGAGCCCAGTGTGGGGCAGGCACCCCATAACAGGATTATAATTAATGGTGCAAACAAGCAGATTTCTAGATACTTAGTCATGATTTAAGGATAAAAGTGACAAGCAAAAACCACCAAACATTTCCTCAATGCCCGTAAATGAGCACAAATCAGCTGCTTCATTGATGATCAGTAAATTTTTTAAAAAACAGTATTCTTAGGAATAAGCTTGATGTTTCTCATTTGCAGATGCAAACGCCATGTCTATTTTCCTAACCTGATTGAATGCAGTTTTCAATGACAGCTTTGCTGTGATGGCTATTAGCCTCGTTTCAGCCTTTATGTAGCAGCAAGATGTATTACCCTGTAACAAAGGACATGGAATAGAGATCTTTTTGGATTTCTTAAATAAGCTGCCTTTCGCAAGCTATGTAGAAATGAATTAAAGATTACGATAGTGAAAAGCACACAATTCTAAATAGTTTATTTTACACATAGGGAGTAAAAGGAATAAAATTACAACTATGTTATCACACCCGAATCACATTAAAAAGTATTCATCATCAAATGCTTAGAAAAGAGTAATTACATTTATACACACTGTCATCTGTGATCAATATTAATGGGAAATAACTTGTTTTATACACTTTCTGTCTAGTCAGACTACATCTTCCAGACTGCACAGTAATTTGAATGCAAATTTGTTTGTATTCTGAGCTGCAAGAAACAAAACAGAAAAATGAACAATTGCATAATCTTGCAATTATTTTACACTTGCATGTGAGGAAAGAATAAAGGTAGATTGCTAGGCATCTGCAGGACTTTACACATGTATTTTGGGTGCTGGAGTCAAAAGAAATTAAATAATGCTAGAGAGAGAGAGACAGAGACAATCAACAAGAAATATTTTTAAAATTAAAGACTTCGGTCCAGATCTTCATGGAGTGTAAATCAACATGGCTCTATTGAAGTCTGAGGAGCTGGACCATGGTCTTTAGATGTTTACTTAATAAACTGTGTTCACATTAATGATTTTGTTTAATGCAGCATGTCTGGGTGGATCTATCATGCTGAATAATAAAAACAATATTTTTTACATTTATATGGTGTCTTTCCAAAGGATCTCAAAGTGCCTTACAGCTATGGGGTATACATACAACACCATTGAAATGCAGGCACTTCTGGGGTAGACAGAGGAGCCAACTAGCACCCGAGTAAGGGGAAGGGAAATTTTGGGCAAGGTCATCAGGCAAACACCTGGTGGAAAGGAAAGTACCATGGGTTGGTTAATGTCTATTCAGGGCAGACATGAGTGCAGTTTTAGAAGCCTCATTCAAGAAACACCCACCCAGAAAGCTGTAGTTTAACTAAAATTCAGTGAATGCAAGTAAAATTCAATCCTACATATCTACTTGGAATGTGAACTTATGGTCCACGTGACAAAGTGGACCATATCATATCATATGCTTTTCATATCTAGGCATATCATATGCTTAGTCTCCAAGTCCATCCCCTTCTTCCTTACACCCGGTGGGAAGAAGTGAAATGTTCTCCACACTGCAATTTCTGGTTTTCCTTGAGACGCGTGACATTCATTTATGATTTTAGAGAACACAACTTGTTATGAGCCTGATCCTTAATTGACTTTGAGAGGAGTTGTGGGTGCTCAGCGCCACTCACAGTCAGGCCCTAATTCTTTCAAGGAACAGAAAGGCAGGCAAAGGGACAAGGAACAAAACACATCAGACTTGTGCACTTCCGGGGGATACAGATATCTACACTGTAAAATAATAACCAATCTCAACCAGAAACTGGCTTGAACAACCTACATACAACACTGTGCCTAGAGCAGATGAATCACTTCTTATTGAGGATGATGTTGCCCTCTTCGTCTTTGATTCGCACCCGTCCAGAGGAATACTTTGTTTCCTGTTGGCCACTGGAGTACACAGTCTTTATAGTGCCATCGGGGTACTCCCTCCTCTTGAACTGTGATGTGTGAATCTCCTTCTGTCCATTACTGAACATCACCATTTTATTGCCGTTCCTGAAAAAAATGACAATCGATAAAGTATTCAGCCATGTACAAAAACCCAGATTCCCCAGGGGTGTATAGTACATCCTGACCAGGAGCGGTGGAAGCTCCCTAAAATGGGGGAGGAGGGACTGGCACCCAAACCGTGGCCCTGCCCCTCCATGCCACCTTTCCCCCCTTGAGGCCATGCCCCCATGCCACCCCTTCTCCCTGAGCCTCCACCCTCACACCACTCCTTCCCCTGAGGCCCTGCTCCCGCACCGCCTCTTCCCCCCAAGACACCCCCCCACACTCACTCCTCCCCACCTCCTCCCCCTGTCGCTTGGTCTTATGGTTGGTAAAAAGTGATGGGGCCATGACCCCCTGTTCACCCCTGTTCTGGCTCCCCTGATCCTGACAGACTCCAGCAGTGGAAAATACACTGTGGGGAGGCTGCTACAGTATAATAGATAGCTGCAGAAACCAATGCTGAGGGCCAGGGCTGCCTCCAAAGTGGCCAGCACTGGACAGGGAAGGGGCGTGGATATACTGAATCAACACATTCCAAGAGCTGCTTCCAACAGTGGGGCTTTGATGGAGTCCCATCCATAACTTAAAACTGCTCCCTGCAGGTGAAAGCAACAAGGGAGGTGAAGCTGCAATTATGCTCCGTGAAATGAATCCTCCCTATGGTGGATAGGCCCAGGCTGGTGCAAGGACACACGATTGACATCTTCTTGTGTTCACATGGGTGAAAGTAGTCCTAATGTTATATACACTGCTGCAGGAGACGGACAGGGTGCACAGGAATGCATCACTGAGACTGAATGTTCTTATGAATATATCTTATGAATATATATAACACATCAGATGGAAGCTTTCCCCTCCAAGTTTCAGCACAGCTCTGATCTTCAACCACCCAAACGTAATAGCATTTACAGAAGAACTGCGGTTCTCAGCAGTTCTCACAATGTGGTCTTCATCACAGAGATATGTCAGTATGTAAACTTAACTCAAATAATAATGAACAACATAATCTGCACTTACAGAGCACTCTTCATCCAAGAATCTTAAAGCACTTTACAAACAGTGGTTCTCACAATACCCCTGTGATATATGCAGTGATAAGTATTATTATTACTCATTTTTCACTGAGGCACAGGGAGGTGTCACTTGCAATGACTTGCCCAAGGAGAGAGAGTCAGCCACAGAGATAAGAATAGAGGCCAGGAGTCCAGATCTTCAGTCCCCTGCTCTATGCACTAGCCCAGTGCACCTGACCCTCTGGTGCCTTGCCCCTTGCGTAACAAGTCATTACAGCTGAACAAAGTGAGTCTAAAGTGCTACTAAATCAAATCACACCCACTGTATCCAGCTGCAAATGACTATACAAGATGCAAGGCCGTGAAGAATCATCCCCAATGCTTCGCTCTGGTAAAAGCTTTCCTCCAGTCGTACTCCAAATCCTGTCTCTTTTCAATTCTTCTGAAACCTCCGAACAAATCGGTATGTACTGAAAACAAAACAACCCTCTCGTTTGTAAAAATGAACCTTGTAAGACACAAACGAAAGCTGTAACCTTCAGCCCTCCCACCAGGAGAGCCAGTATACATCTGCTCAGTACCCCAGTCATGTCACCTCACAGGATACTTACTTTTCTATTTTTACTACTGTACCATCTGGAAAAACCGTTTCCTCAAGCCCACCATCATAGAAGCGTTTCATTGTCTGATCTGGGAACACAATTTCTTTGGTGCCATCTGGGTGGTGTTTTTCTGTAGAAAACAATATTTTTAAAATCAATTTAGAAACTCCATCATGTTGGTTTATATGAAACTACAGCATGTTCTTTCACAAGACACAGGGATGAGGAATGAACTTTATAGACGATAACCTATTAAAAATGGTAAAGAATAAATAATGATAAGCATCGAAACGGTGCTTTTACATCTGTAGATCTCAAAGCAAATATCGATTATCCACGTTTTATAGATGGGGAATCCAAGGGACAGAGTGGTGACGTGAAAAGTCCCAGTCTCCCAGAGTTAGAGTCAGGCCATTTTTTATAAGAAGATACTCCTGCAAAAGTTATGAGCTACCACATACCTATCTGATTGTTAGGGAACTGCAGCACCTCCAAGCCATTTGGATAAGTGGTATGGGTTGTCTGTGCATCTGCATAATAATAAATCTGCAAGGACAGTGAAGAGTTTGTATTTTGTTTCTAATATTTTAATAATGGGATACAGTTATAACAACGTTTTTAAAAATCTCTCACAGAAAAATGATTTTGAATTAACGTAGGGTATTTGGAATACGCACAAGTAACTGTATTTATATTTCAACTCCTTCCTCTCCTCCTTCCCTCACATATAGGATGTGTCCCAATTTTACTGCTTTCTCCTCTACAACATCCAAATGATCAACACAGTTGCTAAAATTATCTTCCTTGCCCACTGGATCCTTCCTCTTGCTCCTCCTTGCACACGTAATGAAGTGTAAAATTCTCATCCTACCTTCAAGAACCTGTTCAACTCCACCCCAGCTCACATTACATTATTATCTCCTATTTGTATTATGGTAGCACCTAGAGGACAGGAGCCTATTGCACTGGCACCCTACAAACGTATAATAAAGAGACACTCCCTGCCCCAAGGAGCCATGTCTCACACTTTGCTTTGTATCATGGTTTCCATTTCCACCTGCTCCACCAAAGATGTCAGCATCAGTGCGCCATTTGTTCCATCTTCTACTGCTATCTTGGCATCTTTTCACTCTTCCACTTGTCTGTGGGGTAGACTCTCTAGCCCAGGTCACCAAGCCACCCTGCTTCTCCTTCAAATCTCTACTAAAAAGTCTCTTCTTCTACCATGGCCACAAGATGTAGGGCCTTGTAGTACTAGTCAATCTGCATAAAATATTGACAAGCTTTTTTTAAAAAAAAGAAAATACAGGTGTTTACACACCACTCTCTGATCCGGCATGACCTTCTTTACATCTCCATTGAAAAAAGTAACCACCGTCATCCTTTTATCAGCACTGATCTCTTTCTTGGTACCGTTGCGGAAAGTAATGATTCGACGGCCATCAGTAAGCACCTCTTCTACCTTTAAACACACAAAATACCCTGCATAAGAGAAACAAAATGGGCCAAACACCCCTCTCAGCTACACCAGTGCAGCCTCAGTGCAGTCAGTAACGTTGCAGTGGTGTAACTGAAATGAGAGTTTGCTGCTAAATATTTCATTAACACAGGGACCTGAGGCTATGCTGCAGCCCTTCGAAGCTTATTTCTATAGCATGGGTAAGTAATTCCTACGTCACCTGTGTGCCAACACAGAAACCTCAACATTGTCTATCTCTCCCCCCCCACCTCCAAATGCGGGCTTTGGCAGGTTGACCAGATTGCTATTTCCTCTCATTCAGTCTGAGTTTCAGAGCGCCGGCAAGCACTGTGATTTCAGTGAAGGATGACAATTCTGCAGCTACTCAGTTGGAGTGAGCTAAAACTCCTGATTAAGACAATCTAGTTAGTCTGCATATATCTCCACACAAGTCAGAACAAACTGAGTCCCCCACCAAGAAACCTAGGATCTGGGTGGAGGGGACCAAAATGATCTGATCAGATAAGCTGGCATATGGTGGTAACATATGCAGATGGCAATTTTACTTCCAGATAATGTGACCCCATTAACAAGCACTTCAGCTCTATGGAAGCTAAATTTGCTGTATGCAGAGAGCCCCTGGGAAATCACTCAAGACCACTTGACAAGCAGACAGTGAACACATCATCCGTGTACGCTTCTGCAGCTGATGTGTTTATCAGATGAGACCTGCTGTCTAGCAGAACCTCTAGTTAACCCAAGCAGGCTTGGCTGGAGTCACTAGGGTAGCTGCTTCTGGTCATCAGGTTGCATTGATTTACATAACACAATCCATTCAGTGAAATCCCAGTGGAGGAGGTAGTCAGAAGAGCTGTGCCTTAACTCTACCATATGGCGCCAGTGTCATAAGCCATTCCTCATGGGAAAGGAAAGTCATGAACAGGAGAGAGGAGGAATACAAAAAGGAAGGGAGGAGGAAGAGAGGAAACTAGGGCTTCCCAAAACAGGCATTGTAATGAATACTTGGGACAATATTTTTATTTAAATGCAATTGTATTCAAAGATGCCTGGATAATAACTGAAATTTGTTACGAAGAACACTTTAACAAGAAGTATTGCTACTAAGAGGTCCACGTGCGTTAGGGTGGGTGTTAATGTCTCGTTCCACCTTTAATGCCATAACACCTCTCTATCCCATTTCTCTAGCCCCCCCAAACAAGCCCAGAACAACTCTTGATTTTATGAGCTGAAAGAAGTGGTGAAAATGCCTAATCTTTTCATGATTGTTTTCCTTTCCAGATGCAGAACTACAGGTCCTGCATTTGCTACTTCTGTGAGAAGGAAGTGTGACAGGTAGAGGCTGTCAGAGCCCATCTCAATAACAACTGTGAAGAGTTGGTGGTCTCTGGCCAGTCCCCACCAGCCAGACAGTATCTACATCACATAAACTCCCATTAAAACAACCGTCATTAATTGACACCCTCATTGGTAGCATTTGCAGAGAGGTCTAGAACTGAATGGACATGAGGAATGAACTAATGTCTCATGCCTTAAGCCCTGGTCGATGCCAGAAAACTGACCCATAGCTGACAATGGGTCCCCCCTAAATTAGTGCTGAAAACAGTTTAATGGGACAAGACGGTTTGTAGCAATGTTACACAAGAGTTGGCGGGAGCCTGGGTGCAAGTCTCAACCGCACTTCCTGTAATGGCATTGGAAAGAGGGCTGCCCAATCCATGCAAGCAGATAAACACCACACCTAGGTAGCACTTTTTTATCTGTAGATGGTAGGTGTCATTATCTCCAGTTTACAAATGGGGTAACTGAAGCACACAGGATAAGTGACTTGCCAAAGGTCACATGGTGAATCAGTGGAGGAGCTGGGAATAGAATCCAGGTGTCTGGATTCCAAGCTCGTTAGTTGAATCAAATTTCCCATAACATATGGTGTGATCTTTACATTTTTGCTTTCCTGTGGAGAAGGGAAACTTCACTTACAAAATGTTCTCTAGAGCCTGTGTAACGGTAATTCATAGCCATATCAGGGATCCTATTGATCCCCCTTTTTCTACCCTTACATCTGCGTAAGGTCCCTTACCTTGCCATCTGCATACTCTATTTTTTCTCGGACCTCCTCACCACTCTTTTTGCTTTCTTCATATAGCGAAGATCTTCTGGATAATGTTGATTTTGGAGGAGAAGTCTATGGAAACATTATAGTCCCTGTTATATTGTTACATGAACATAGAGTTTTGCTAATATTTTTGCTAATCTTAATCAACTCTGCCAAAAATATGGTAATCAGAAGAGCATTACTATGGGAGACAAGCACTGCACAGAACAGTGAGACACAGGGCCCTCTTCTCATTTACATGGAGGTCCCTTCAGGCTGCTCTGGCTTAAAATGTGCTCAAGTTATATTTACACCCACAGTGTAAAGGGCCCTCAATGTAAGTGAGAATCAGGCCCACAGTGTCCAGACCCATCCTGAACCAATATTACCTACAGTCAGGGAGTGTGTGTGTTTTGTTTTGGAGGCAGAAATCCAGTGGAACACAAAGTCTTTCTCCTGGCAGGATAGTAACCCATTCAGGTGAGCAACACAAGAGGGAAACAGTAAGCTGCAGACAGTTTAGGGTGTGAGAGTGAGCCATCACCCCAAATCACCGGCCCTATCTGGGACCCTGGGCCTCTCAGTTTCAGCTGGCAAGGGGGTTACAAGAATATCCTGATCTGATGTGTTCTGGTTCACCAAAGAATATCATATGAGGTCTTAAATGAAAGCCAGGGTCACACTGGCCATTGATACCACTGTGAAATGTATGTACAGATACTACAAAGGAATTACATATCTATGCTAAAAATATGTTCTTAAATTCTGTATTACAGCAGAGGTGGAGAAGCAGGTTTCCTGTCAGAAAAAAAGGTATTTATTCACCTGTTTCTCTGTTGCATGTAAATTAAGCATCATAAGCTAACACAATGGAGGCATATTTACATATGAAGTCAACAGGAGACGTGAAATCAACAGGAAAGAGCATACAGGAAAAGCAAGCGATGGGTTATCCCATCTCAGAGAACAGACAATGAACTTTGGGGATATAGGTAGAAGGCAAAAGTTAGTAACCTGCACCTAGGAAGTAAACAGGTAGTGCGTTTACATTCATGAAAACGGGATCTTAATCAGCCTTGGTTGAAATCGCTGCAAAAGGCTTTGGGCGAGATAAACTAGACAGGAGGTTAACCTAATAGTTAAGTTTAGTCTCTAGGAAGCAAGTCAAGGTTTTGTTTTATATATCACCCTTTTGTTCCATTATCCTTACTCACTATCTCTTGAACCTTTGATAATAAACTTATTGTTGTTCTCACTATACATAAAACTCAGTGCTGGGGTATTAAACAAGGTGCTGATCCTGAGCTGAATCATACAAGCTGGTATGTACGCTGTTCCCCTGGGGACTGCAGCCCTGGTATTTCTGTGAGTGTTCAGTGGAGAAGGGGCCAGATGCTACAGGGCAAATGCTTCAAAGGGGTTCAGGGACTGGGGTGCACCTATTGTTAAGCTGCAAGGCAAAGGAAGGGCGGGCACAGCCCAGAGGAGAGGGTTTGGGTGGCTAACAGGCTGGAGGTATCAGGTTGCTGACAGCCAGTTAAGCACAAGGAAGTCTCCCTCTCACTGGAAACAGGGTGGTGGTGGGGGGGGTAACAAGGTGACCCACAATCCTGGGGACCCCGAACACTGTCACAGCATTCCAGAAGCTGTCCACCCTCTCTGAAGTTCCTTAGCAATGCCTCTTCCCTCCCTGCCAAGATAAGGGCCTCCCTCACCTTTTGCATTATTCATGATTCCTCAGTGGTATTTTCACCAGTGGTTCCCCTTCTCTCTGAATTTAACTGTCTTCCATTCCCCATTTCTTCCAAATCCAGATTTCCTAACAGTGGCCCAAAACACTTTCGGGTTTTCTCTGCTGCCTGCCGATGTATGCCAAGATATCTCCAAAGGGTCAGAGTGCTGCTTTTGCAGCAAAGCCTTCTGGGGCACATTAGCAATGTCAGGCAATGACAGAAAACACACACTCTGAGGAGCTCTGAAGACAGCTGTGGCAACTAAACTGTAGTTAAAAAACATTTAGTTTTGCTTAAGCTTTGCACTGGAGCTAAGAGCAGCCCCAAGTCTTGCAGAGAAAATAATCCCTCTTCCTACCCCCACAAGGTCATATGCATTTTCATCAGGCAACAGAAGGCAAGGCCTTTCAGGAGCTTGAACTAATATTAACCCATGAAAGAAATGTGATCTAGTCTAGTGATTAGGAAAGAAGGCTGAAATGGAGGGTTCTGTTTTCCCTGGCGTATTTTATTTTGCTTGGATTGACGAAACAACATTTCAGCACATGGTTGCATGGCTGGAGCTATGGGTGTTGAAGATCAGTATGTGAGCCAGTACCTATAATTAGCTCAAACCTTTGCTTCAGCATCCAGTAATGCATAAAAACTTTCTCCTGGTGTTTTTCTGCCACTTGGGATTATGCTGTTTCTCCTGGAGAGTGTCACAGAGGCTGTCTGATCCCAAGGTTTAAGTGATTTTTGAGTCCTTTTAAGGCACAGATTCTCTTTCTCCTGTGTCAAGATGAAAATATTAAGTTGCAACGTAAACTTCCTTAAAACAAATCGTTATAAAGGGCTATTTTCACAGAGAAACATACCATAGGATTTGTAAGATGTCACTATATTGTTTTAAGTACAGTCAGCACCAACAGATGGGAGGGAAAATGAAGCAGACTGAATATTGGCCCCACTGAAGACAATGGTAATTTTGCCAATGACTGAAGTGGGACTAGGATTTAGCTCAGTGTCTGTGAAAGCTGAAGTATAAATCTTGCTGGATGATTAAATATTTCTCTATGTATAAATATACCTGTGTTTCCTCATTGTTACTGCAGGATGCAGAGCTACAAACATCATCGTTCTGGTTGCGAAAGAGGACTGTGTCCTCTGAACTACCTGAGGTAGATGAAAATCTGCCTACAGGGTGTGGAAAGAAAAACAGATTCAAAAGGTCAGTGCAGGCCTAGGAAAGTGCCCAGTCATACAACTCCACGGTGTTGTTTCAGAGTCCATTTTAAAAATGCTGACTTTCAGATTCATGCAACACATTGCCTATTGCAGCAATAATATCATTCTTGTTGATAGCAACACTTGGTGCTGCCTCCTCCTGGAGCAAAAGAAAGAAGCCGTACACTCACCTGCAGACCACTGCTGGCAGGTGGAAAGTTCCCACAAATGGTAGCCATAGAAATGTAGGGCTTGCAGGAAATCTTACCTTTTATGTAAGACGATGAGTTGGTTTCCTTAGACACAGTCAAGTGTGAGACGGGAAGTATAGGTGACTTCCTGCCATAGGTTCTTTGTTCATTAAGAGATGATTGATGTATAACCTAAAACAAGACGAAGAGTTTTAGACAAATATACAGTCCTACCATCTCTGTAACTTGGCAATTCTCAGTGTATGAATGGTCACATGTGAACTTCTCCTGGGCTGTCAAGAAATGAAGCTTGTACCATGAATAACTGATATGGTATCTACAATTTGTTTCTATTTAACTGTCTACCTCTCCCCCAACATAAGTGTATTGCTTGTCATCTTAGATTGTAAACTCTTTGGGGCAGCACATGTCATAATGGATCTATGATCCCAACCAGCGCCTCTGAGCAATATCATAATATAAACAGTAAATAATCATAACAATCAGAATAGTCTGCACTATTAACTGGTTACCTTCTCTGGCTCAAAGGGTGTTAATCTTCCCTGATGGGGTGTTCTCCTGCCAGTGGGTGTCGTACTTCTGCTATGAAAGTGATTAGATGGTGTCTTTTCTCTGGGTTCCCTGGTTACTGATTTCAAAGACTCAGTCCTTTGCACTGCCTGAAATGCATTCAATATTTTTGCATTAAGTATACACTGTCATGTTAAAAAAATCACACTGAAGTCATTCTGTAAAAGTAACAAAAATAATTTGCTTATTTCAAAAACGTTAGAAGTTTTTTTAAATTTACTTTTCACTATTTTTGCTGTTTGTTTACTTTTCACGTTTCTCTCTCTGCTTGGAAAATGGAAGTGGACAACCCACTTTCACTTTTGTTTCTAAGCAGTTTCATATTCTGGTTCTTGTAAAGCTGGAACAACCCTGCGAAAGGTTGCAATCACAGCAGCAGGATGTTCACATATTAAGCACTTAAAGATTCATAGAGTGAAATCTGGCCCTACTGAAGTTAATGGCAAAACTCTCATTGACATCACTGAGGCCAAGATTTAACTCTCAGTTTTTAAGGCCAGATGGAACCATAACAATTGCCTTGGGTAAAATTTTCAAAAGCCCTTATGTGACTTTGGAGCCTAAGCCTCATTTTTAAAAATGGCATAGGCATTCAGGAGCTAAAGTCCCACTGACTTTCAGTGTGACTCAGAGGCAGTGCTAGCCCATTGGGGGCCCTAAGCAGGAATATTTTCCCCCCCCCCAACACATAATAAAAAGCAAATGGGGGTCCCCTTGAGCTGCTCGGGCCCTAAGCAATTGCTTAGTCTGCTTATGCCTAGCACCAGCTCTGATGTGACTTAGTCTCTTTTGAAAATGGGATTTAGGCTCCCAAGTCTCTTAGGTACTTCTGAAAATTGTATCCCTAGTCTGACCTCATACGTAACACAGACCATAGAATTTCACCCAGTAATTCCCACATCAGCTCATAGCTTCTAGTTGAACTAGAGCATATTGTTTAGAAAGACATCCAGTCTTGAGGACAAACATCCAATCTAGGCCACCCCATTCAAGTGGGGCAATGACAAGCTAGTAGTTCACACACAATATAAATATTGCCCCTTTGTGTCTGTGCACATTACACAATACAGTCTTTATTCACCTGATCACATTTTACTTCACAAATAATACAGTATAGAATTTTAAGGGTTTTTTCCTAAAATCTTCCTGCCATCTCTATTCACGTTGCACAGTAACCTCATTTCACAAGTAACTGCCTTTTACATGTTTTTAAATTCCAAGTTACTTCAGTGACTGGGCAGGCAAATGTGGTAATTGCTGCAGCTATACTGTGGGAAGTAGCTTCCACATGTCCCTGGATGTTAGAACATATTTGTGTCATGAGATCATTAACTGCAGAGACAGGAGGAATCTCAGTTCATCTGACCGACAAGGCACAGATGTAGACTAGGTGTAAAAAAAAGGCAGGGGAAGGATTATTATTCGGGATGTTCAAATGGAGACAAAATAAAAAGTTACAACTTGAAGCCAGGAGGAGGAAAATTCTAACTAGATATTTAGGAAAAAGTTCTTAAAAGTGAGATGCATCAGACAATGGTGTAATCCAGCCACAGAAGAGCAGTCAAAGGGCTATCAATATGAGCCCAGTGCTGCACTCATTATGGTCAAATGGGAGTTTTGCCATTGATTTGACTGGAAGTAGGATTAGGTTTTATGTGCACTAAAGAGAAATTGGGTTTCACACTTTGGGCCAAATTCTGTGTGGTCTCTTTCGTAATTATGCAAAGCCTGAAACAGTGAAAATACTGGATTTCAGCTTTGCAGAGACAAGGCTGCAGAGAGCCCATGAAAGGAGACTTCACAGCCTCCCGTGTGCCGTGGTGCAATTCTCTAGTGTGTCTCTCTCTTCAGGACCAAAGAGCCAGGGAGGGTTGGGGGAAGGGGAGGCTGGAAGAGTGGCTGGGGCAAGGCTACTGGATCCTCTCACACTGTGCAAATTCAAGGGCCAAAACCATGCATTGGGGCAGGGGCACAGTACACGGTGATAACTACAAATAGGCAATTCAGTTAGGCTTAAAATAGGAGACAGATGATTGTCTCACACCATTATGGAGTTAGGAAGAGTGCAAGGAAAACTTTACTACTGCACGTTCTTAGTGCTGAGTCACAACACGGGGCTATGTAGAAAAGGTGACCCCATGTATCTGGACACTTTCATTTACATACATTTTGGTCCCAGAAATCATTCTCTAAAATAAGTCTCATGTTTTTAAACTGTGGAAATGTGACTGCAATAAGGACCCGAGTTTTATCCATACTTTCATATTCACATCTCTGGGGGGGGTGTTTCTCCACTGGAGTTTTCCTCCCCACCGGAGTGGTGTTGCGACTCTTATGGCTACTTCGCAATGGCCTTTCTTCTAGGTTAGCCAGAGACGATGTCCCTCTCAAAATAGCTTCTGAAACCTAATGGAGAATTTATGATAAACAAAGCAATGGTTTATCCATCACATCTAATAGAACCAGTCACATCATCTTGTACCTGGAGAAAAAACTCACACCAAACCTTCACATTTTCTGAGGTAACAAGGCAATATGTACACAGGTAGCTACTATTCAGTCAGCTAGACCACAGGGGGGTGGAGGGAGCAGATGGCACCAGTTTTCTCCCAAGCAAAGAGATCAATACGGAATGGAAATCCCTCACTATTAGGTGCCTGGAGTTGGAAAACGTAATGGCTCTGACAGGAGATAAAACAGAATCACCCTAAGTTTATACACAAAAGACTAGATCCCCCATCTGGCTGAGTTATGCTCCTCTCAGCCTGAGGCTAGCCAGGGACAGGGTGGTCCCCAGCATAAGTTACAGCAGCCTCAGGGTCATGTCCCCTATACAGTGCCCTTATGCCAGCTGAGGATTCTCCAGCCCAGAGGGAATCTTCAGCGGCTGAAGGCCCAGGCTTTATGGCTCTTTTGCACCACCAGAGCAGGCCAAAGCAGGTGGAGTGGGGACCAGAATCTAGACAAAAATGTCCAGCATATTTTGCCTTCTCTAGCTCTTGCTTTGATTGTGATTGTTATACAGTTTTGTTCCGTACTGGTGTCCTTTATGTTGCATATAGCACAGCTGGAATCATTTTTCTGTGTGACCTTCACTATGCATAAAAAAAAGGGTCATCAGAAGTAACAGGCAGATTCCAGTCAAGTTAAAAATCAAAATTAAATTTGAATTTGGGATTACATTGTCCAAAGGAGCCTAAGGGAGTTAGGGGCTTCATTCTCATTAATGCTATATTAAAATATATAAAGATTATTTACCATTTCCCTTGCTTTATCAAGTGAAATTGGTGGTTCCAGGCACCTTGTAAAGAAGAATGTAGTTACTGTCACTTATAAAGGGAAGGATGGCCCAGTGGTTAGGGTACTAGCCTGGAACTGGTTATTTCCCTGAGAATAATTGGCTAAGGGAGAGAGAGAGTATGCTCATGCACTCCTGATTCTGAAGAAATCTTAAAACTTTGAATTGCTCTGACATTGGTATACCAGACACTTCCACTGTTCACACAACCACCTACAGACAATAGATCCTTCAGTACCGGGGTTTCTGATTTTCTGCTTATGAAATCCACAGCTCCAGATTTCTTTTCTGCTTCCAGCCTCTGATGCTCTGAAACTCTGAGCTCATCTCGAAGCTCCAGGTTCTGTTTGGTCAGCATCTCAATCTGATGTTTTAGCTTGCCATGGGCAGCATGCCAGTGGGACTCATTTCTCCTGAACTCCTCCTGGAGCCCTGCAATCTGCTGTTTTAACATCTGTTATTAGGGAAAGGCACAGAACGTTAGTGCACCATTCCAGACGAGGCAAGCGCAGCTCATGCATTTGGAAAGACACATGAAATCTGTTGTTTTGCTTAAAGCTTTATTGAAACTTTTCATTATGACATAAACACACACAAAACAAAATCACACCAGATCTACCAAAATACACAGCAATAAATAAAACAAACAAACAGAAATCCATGCTGCAGAAGAGCCAAAGAAAAGAAGCCTAAGAAAAAGGAATAGGTATTAGCCCCCTACAGTATTTAAGGTGTACTGACAAGCATCTACAGCAGTGAGATATTAAGCCAAAAGGGATGATTTTCAGAACTGCTGAACACCCACTATAAATGAAGTCAGTGGAAGTTGCTGGTGATCAATACCTTTCAAAATCAGGATCTAACATTCCAACCATCATGGAGCATCTCACTGTGTTTGCATTAAAAAAAAAAAGATTTTCTTTAAGCAGCTTGGACTGATGGAACAATTTGACTGATTCAGGTTCTGATCCTAATGAGTCTAGAACATCCACAACTCTTGCTGACGTCAATGACAACTCAAGCCTGGATGTCTTTCAAAAAGACATGCTGTAGCTCAAACAGAAGTTATGGGCTTGATGCAGAGATTAGTAGATGAGGTTCTTGGGCCTGTGTGATGCAGGAGGTCAGCCTAAATGATCATAATGGTCCCTTCTGATCTTAAAATAAAAATCTATGAATCTATGGACACTGGCCAAGCCATTTTAGAAATACATTTAAGTGTACGTCTCCTTAGACATGCCCTGCCCCTTTATTAATCCTGCACCTTTAAATGTAAAGGAGTGGATGTGCAAAGATCTCGAGCCTTTCCTTTGCTCAGGGAGAACTACACCTAATGCTTAATTGTAATCTGTCATTTTGACAGATAGGGAGGAACTGGCTGAGAATTTGAAAGTGGAAGGCATCTTGGGTGAAAGTGATCACGAAATGATAGAGTTCATGATTCTAAGGAATGGTAGGAGGGAGAACAGCAAAATAAAGACAATGGATTTCAAGAAGGCAGACTTTAGCAAACTCAGGGAGTTGGTTGTAAGATCCCATGGGATACAAGTCTAAGGGGAAAAACAATAGAAGACAGTTGGCAGTTTTTCAAAGAAACATTATTAAGGGCACAAGAGCAAACTATCCCATTGCATAGGAAAAATAGGAAGTATGGCAAGAGATCACCCCGGCTTAACCAGGAGATCTTCAATGATCTAAAAATAAAAAAAGAGTCCTACAAAAAGTGGAAACTAGGTCAAATTACAAAGGATGAATATAAACAAATAACACAAGTATGTAGGGACAAAATTAGAAAGGCCAAGGCACAAAATGAGATCAAACTAGCTGGAGACATAAAGGGTAACAAGAAAACATTCTATAAATACATTAGAAGGAAGAGGAAGACCAAGGACAGGGTAGGCCTGTTACTCAATGAGTAACATAGTGAATGCCAGTGAAAATGAGGTAGGATCAGAGGCTAAAACAGGGAAAGAACAAGTTAAAAATTACTTGGACAAATCAGATGTCCTCAAGTCACCAGGGCCTAATGAAATGCATCCTAGAATACTCAAGGAGCTATTAGCGATTATTTCTGAAAAGTCATGGAAGACAGGAGAGATTCCAGAAGACTGGAAAAGGGCAAATATAGTGCCAATCTATAAAAAGGGAAATAAGGACAACCCAGGGAATTACAGACCAGTCATCTTAACTTCTGTACCCAGAAAGATAATGGACAGAATAATTAAGCAATCAATTTGCAAACAGCTAAAAGATAATAAGGTGATAAATAACAGTCAGCATGGATTTGTAAAAAACAAATTTTGTGTCAAACCAACCTGATAGCTTTCTTTGACAGGGTAACAAGCCTTGTGTATGGGGGGAAGTGGTAGACATGGTATATCTTGACTTTAGTAAAGCTTTTGATACTGTCTGACACGACCGTCTCATAAACGAACTAGGGAAATGCAACCTAGATGGAGCTACTATAAGGTGGGTGCAAAACTGTTTGGAAAACCGTTCCCAGAGAGTAGTTATCAGTGGTTCATAGTCATGCTGGAAGGGCATAATGAGTGGGGTCCCACAGGGATCAGTTCTGGGTCCGGTTCTGTTCAAAATCTTCATCAATGATTTAGATAATGGCATAGAGAGTACACTTATAAAGTTTGCGGACGATACCAAGCTGGGAGGGGTTGCAAGTGCTTTGGAGGATAGGATTATAATTCAAAATGATCTGGACAAACTGGAGAAATGGTCTGACGTAAATAGGATGAAATTCAATAAGGACAAATGCAAAGTACTCCACTTAGGAAGGAACAATCAGTTGCACACATACAAAATGGGAAATGACTGCCTAGGAAGGAGTACTGTGGAAAGGGATCTGGGGGTTATAGTGGACCACAAACTAAACATAAGTCAACAGTGTAACGTTGTTGCAAAAAAAGCAAATATCGTTCTGAGATGTATTAGCAGGAGTATTGTAAGCAAGACACGAGAAGTAATTCTTCCGCTCTACTCCGTGCTGATTAGGCCTCAACTGGAGTATTGTGTCCAGTTCTGGGTGCCACATTTCAGGAAGGATGTGAACAAATTGGAGAGAGTCCACAGAAGAGCAACAAAAATGATTAAAGGTCTAGAAAACGTGACCTATGAGGGAAGATTGAAAAAATTGGGTTTGTTTAGTCTGGAAAAGAGAAGACTGAGAAGGGACATGATAACAGTTTTCAAGTATGTAAAAGTATGTACAAGGAGGAGGAAGAAAAATTGTTTTTCTTAACCTCTGAGGATAGGACAAGAAGCAATGGGCTTAAATTGCAGCAAGGGAGGTTTAGGTTGGACGTTAGGAAAAAACTTCCTAACTGACAGGGTGGTTAAGAATTGGAATAAATTGCCTAGGGAGGTTGTGGAGTCTCCATCATTGGAGATTTTTAAGAGCAGGTTAGACAAGCACCTGTCAGGGATGGTCTAGATAATACTTAGTCCTGCCATGAGTGCAGGGGACTGGACTAGATGACCTCTCGAGGTCCCTTCCAGTTCTATGATCCTATTATTTTTTCTTGCACTAAGTGGTTTTGCATTCATTCTTTGTGTATTTCCAGACAAATTGAACTGTATATTTTAAAACCTTGACCCTTTGGAACAAAACCCTGCAAACCCCAACCCCTAACACTAGCAAAGGCAGTGAGGAAAAGCAGCAGTTTTCCCATCCTCCCTCTCCCGTCTCTTCATCCTCTCCCTCCTTTCTTCCTTCAAGCACATAATTCTTTCTTCTTCTGCAACTTCACCATGAATAGTGCACTGTGGGGTAGTGGAACTGTGATTTACCTCTTAATCTGCCAGATGTGGGACATGCCTCCAAACTGAGGTGGACACAAGAAAGCTATTTATTTATATATTTATGCACCCACCATTATGGCACTGGGGGCACTTGATGTACATTGACAGGCTTGATCCTGCACAAGGGCAGGTGTGTATTGTTGCTTGTTAAAAGCAGAAGGTGAAAAGTGATGAGCAAGCAAAGACAGCGGGGGTACCCAATCTTGCAAGGATGAATGATGTTGTGCACCTGCTACGTTATTAATGTAAGGCATTTGACTTAATCTTGCATGCAGTGTTGTTGCAGCCATGTTGGTCCCAGGATAGCGGTGAGACGAGATGGGTGAGGTAATATCTTTTATAGAGAAGTTGGACAGTCTTGAAAAGTTGGTCCAATAAAAGGTATTACCTCACCCACCTTGTGTCTCTTGATCCTGCACGACTTTGTAATTTAAAAATTAGCACTATATAAAATCAATGTAGCCCATATTAAATGGATTAAAAAATGATTCATTGATAGATCTCAAAAAGCAATTGTAAATGGGGAATCATCATCCAGTGAGGTGTTTGTAGTGGATTCCCACTGGGATCTGGAGTGGTAAATGATGATAGGAACAGGTCAGTTATAGAGAGTGATCTTAGCAAGCTGAGCTCATTTGAACGTGTATTTTAATTGAGTCAAATGCAAAGTCATACATTTAGGAACAAAGAATGTAGGTCATAGTTCCAAGATAATGGACTGTATCCTGGAATGCACTGGCAAAGAAAAGGACTTGGTAGATAACCAATTAAACATTAGATCCCAGTGCAGTGCAGTGCTGTAGCTAAAAGGGCAAACGTGATTCTTGGCTGTATAAGGAGGGGAATATCAAGTAGGAATAGGCAGCTGGTATTATCTCTGTGTATGGGATTGATGAGACCACTACTGAAATGCTGTATCAGTTCTGGAGTCCACATTTCAAAGAGGATATTGAAAAACTGAAAAGGATTCAGAAAAGATCCACAAGAATGATTTGAGGTCTGGAAATCATGTTTTATTGGGAGAGACTTAACTCGGTCTAGTTAGTATATCCAAGAGGAGTTTAAGAGGTGAATTGATTATGGTCTACAAATACTTACACAGGAAAGTGATTTCTTAATCTAGCAGAAAAAGGCATAATGCTATCCAGTGACTGGAAACAGAAGCAAGACAAATTCAGACTGGAAATAAGTTGTAGATTTTTAACAGTGAGGGCAATTCACCATTGGAACACGTTACCTCAAAGCATGGTGGATTCTCCATCACTTGAGGAGCAATTCTCATATCCGTTCTAGGATGGACTACAAACTGATCTTTAAAATCACATTTTCTTTTTCCCCTTCTTTATACACTACTTACTTGTATTTCTTCTGATTTGACTTCCTCCCTAGTGACTCTAGCTGCTGTTGCGTACTTCTTAAATTCAACCTTTTCTTTCTGCAGTGTGTGAATGCGGTCTGTCTTATATTCTTCTAAGCAATTAAGTTCTTGAGCCTTGCTGGTCTCCAGCTGATCCATTCGTGTTCTGTTCAAAAGGTAAATTTGGGGATTATGAAGCTGTTGTAAAGAATGTAGGTTGAATCCTGTCTTTGGATGAGTATCCAGGATTCCCAGATTTAGGGCTTGATTTTCAGAGGTCTCGGGCATTCACAGCAGACACTGAAGTCAAGGGGAGCAATAGGTACTCAGCACCTCTGAAAAAATCAGGTCCTTAATCACTGAGAGTCTCAGGTGAGTGTTTGGAGGTAGAGTTTGTCCTTTTGAGCAAATGGAAGGCAATTCCCATTGGGATTTTCTTCCCAGCCAGCTCTATAGCCATGAATTTTATAGGCTTTCAAACACATTTTCTTAAGCCATGAAGAGATAAATTATGGCAGCCAGTGTCAGACCAGGACATTTTTAGTAAGGCATGCAATGATTCAATTCTAAACTTGAATGCCTTAGGTAGTCCAATCTTTTTAGTGATGTTGCACAATATGGTGTCCTTTATGCAGCATGACCATGCCCCTGGTGACTGTGAGGTCACACTGTACAGAAGACACCAGACAGAATCATCCTACAGGCCAGATCTTCTGGGGCATGCAATGCATGCGTTGCATACCTAGACAGCACACCATTGATTGCAGCCCAGAGCAGTTGTGCATGAAAAGAGAGAGAGAGCACAGGTGGCTCCTTCCCCACACATACCCATGCAGGGTGCAAGGTTGGAGGCTGAGCTTCCGGAAGCCCTAGCTTCCCCAGAGTGAGAATGGCCATAGACCTTACATACCAGTTAGTGGATAGGGAGCTGTTGGGAATTCTTGCTAGAGGTATGGCAAGTCCAAGTGCCCAATGTACAATCTTAGCACCTAGGAGACATTTTGCCATTCCAATCCTAAAGCCTCTAGATGCCAGCACTGGGGCAGTGCATGTTTTCCCCCATGGGAGCTCCAGGCTGTAAGTTCTTAATAAAGCCCAGAATCAAGGCCGGCTCCAGGCACCAGCGTAGGAAGCAGGTGCTTGGGGCGGCCAATTCAAAGGGATGGCACTCTGGGGTGGCACGTCCAGGTCTTCGGCAGCAATTCAGCGGCAGGCCCCTCATTCCCTCTCTTCCTCTTTGAGCTGACACCAAATTGCTGCAGAAGGGGAAGAGATGGAGGACCCGCCACCGAACTGCCGCCAAAGAAGCGGCGCGATTTAGCTGCCGCCGAAGTGCTGCCGCTTGTCTTTTTTTTTTTTTTTTTTGCCGCTTGGGGCGGCAGAAAAGCTGGAGCCAGCCCTGCCCAAAATGTAGCATATTTGTATGAACTGAAATCAGTGTTGGCCAAAATGCTTACCCCATTTTTTGAATATATTATATCATTTGTTAGCCTCATAGGCAGGCACATGAGGTGGCAGTGAGGTGGTTAAGAGCATTCACCTCACTAACTGAGCCTGTCACTGCAGAGTGTTCTCTAATGTACAAAATGGAAACTAACACTGACATTAAGAGACGCACAGGCCCCCTCCTCCTCCTGCACGAAGGAAGGTGCCACTGCAGGAGAGATCTTTACAGTTTATTCATTTGGATTTAATTCATTCGTTCCTTTTTTTTAAAATGAGCCCTTACGGTATTCTGGGTTCATGAACATTAAAAGTAATACATCTCCCCAGTAACCAATTAACTCCCCACCCCAACATCTAGTAGGAGTAATAAATACAACACCCCTACTTATGCCCATCTTCTCCGTGCCCCTTTTGAGAACAGAAGTGTTACCCAGAAAGTCAACGAAGTTGGACCACAGCAGGAAGCAATTCTAAAGTGGAGGGTCTTTCACGGCAAATGCCCTACTTTCACAGCTAGACCAGTGAGCAATCAGTTCCAGCACCTCAAGTGATTTCATCTGCTGCAGAATCACCCAAAGAGACCAGACGTGTTTCAGTTAGGGTTGACCCCAACCTTTTAGGGGCCTTATACAATTGATTAAAACCAAAGCCTTGAATTGCACATGGAAGTGAATTGGCGGCCAGTGCACATCACAGGTGTAAAGTGTACCCTGCAGAAAACACTGCCTACAAAGCAGACCTCCATGTTCCATGCAAACTGAAGTTCTCATGAGGTTTTCAGCTGTAGCCCCATGTAAAGCACATTGCAATGACCCAATTGCGAACTGACAAAGACCCTGGTGATGGAAGCAAAATCCACAGCCAAGAGAAAACCTTCTAGCTAAACGGAGGGAAAAAGCACCCATGATTGCTGTTGCTACCTGGACATCCAGAAGCTGCTGTAGATCCACCAAGAACTGCAGGTTATATGTCACAAACGGCAGAAAACTCCCCAGAAATAATCTTCACCAAATCTCCTTACAGCTTCCCACAGCCAACAGCAATTACCTCAGTTCGGTCTGGGTGGAGTCTCAGTCTACTAGCTCTCATCTCCACCCCGGTCTCCGTTAGGCACTGTGTATATGCCAAATTCTAAACTCAGAGAATGTTCACCCTCCAGTCTGCACTCCTCATGCCTGCAGAGGCCTAAGGAAAAAAATGTGTTTGGAAACCAGAGAATGGATAGGAGCCTGGACAGGTCCAGGCATGCCAGCTGATTCTCTCAATAGGGCTCTTATTGCTTCGACCAGGCAAAAAAGTCAACATGGAATAACTGAAGAGCTCTATCACTGTGGTTACCAGCCAGGGCTCCTGATGTGCTCATTAGTTTAAAAATACAGAGCCAGATCCTGAGCTGGTGTAAATCATTGTGAGGTCATTGACGTCAATGGAGCTAAGCGAGTTTACCCCAGCTGAGGATCTGGCCCACAAACTGGAAAAAGGAAACGAAAAGGTCTACATACACAGCATGCCATCTATGGATTTGTGGATAAACATCTTTGTGAAAATGGTAGAGGCAACTACAGCTAACTCCACCAAAACACTGTCAACAACACTCTTTTTAGGGCCAACACTATTATTAGATGCCAAAGCACTATACTCAGTAAGACAAACCCACCAGATGGCACCATCTATCTAGAGGAGCAGAGTACAGTGCTGTCTGGGAAAGTATTGCATTAACTCTGCATGAGAAACATCACTTAGCAGCTGAAGGTAACACCAGTACATAACTTTGGGAAAACTGCAGCCTACTTTCTTTTACTGCTTTTTTAGATGTTAAACATAAACAGCCCAAACCCACAAGCTCTCACACATGGAACTCCTATTGCAGTCCATTGGAGATCAGCCTGCAGGATGCTTGTGGGATCATACCCAGAAAAATATCTTTAATGAAGCAATTTATAATAAATGCAAAGTATTTTGGGCAAGGATAGCTAAGGAAAAATATAGCACACTGTAATGCTGAAAGGACCTGATCCTAAGCTCTTTGAAATCAATGGGAGTGAACATATAAAAGTGTAAACTTATGGCTTGGTTTGGGGCGTGTTCAGTTTGCAACATGTATTCAATTTTTTTTAAAGGAATGCAAAAAAAAAAATCTAAATCAAGAAATTACTCTTACTTTACATAAGAAAAAAAAATTCTCATACCGAGTAAGAAATAGAATGAACACAGTAATACCAAAAAAAGGAGTTTGTATTATAATAGATATATGATGAGCAGGGCCGGCTCTGACCTTTTTGCCGCCCCAAGCAACAACAACAACAACAAAAACAGGGTGCAGGGCGGCCGGACCCGGAGGCAAAGCCAAAACAAAAAAAACCAGGGCGCAGGGCGGCTGGACCCAGAGGCAAAGGAAAACAAAAACAAAAACCCTGGGTGCAGGGTGGCTGGACCCGGAGGCAAAGCAAAAAAAAACCCCAAACCCCTGGGCACAGGACGGCCGGACCCAGAGGCAAAGCAAAAAAACCCCCAAAACCCTGGGTGCAGGGTGGCTGGACCCAAAGGAAAGCAAAAAAAAAAAAAAAAAAAAAAAACCCAGGGCGCAGGGTGGCCGGACCTGGAGGCAAAGCAAAAAAATAAAAAAATAAAAAAAAAAATAGGGCAGCCGTGCCGCCCTACGATTGGACGGAATGCCGCCCCTTAGAATCTGCCGCCCCAAGCACGAGCTTGCTTGGCTAGTGCCTGGAGCCGGCCCTCATGGTGAGTGTAGGTTCTAACAGCTTGCAGACACGTTTAAAAAAAAAATCACACTGGGTTTGAATTTAACCATGCTACGATTTTATTACAGGCACCCCAATGGCTACCGGGTACCTACAGCTGAGATGGTTCCCTCTATTCCAAACCCTTGTTTTCAATCATCATTTTCTTCAAAATATTACGTTTTGGAATGAAAATTTTCCTGCTTGATCTCAACCAAGGAGAAAATTGTTTGAATTTTGCAAACAAACATTTTACAGCTAAGCAATTTTTCAGATGCTTTATTGCACTTAGATTATTTACAAATCAGCTCTTTTGAAACTTCAAGCTTGGCACATCCGTAGTTCCAAATACATCTTTTGCCTGGTTTGGATAGATACCACTATATAAAGGTGAGTAAATCTAAATGTGACATAGGATGATAACCAGGTTGGGCCTGATCTTCTGAGATGGGAGTGCCCCCAGCTCACAGTGACTTCACTGTGACTTGAGGATGCTCAGCAACTTGTACAGATCATTCAGCATTTCACAAGATCAAGCCCTAAAACTAGTCATCGGGCCACAGTTTTCAAATCTGTGTGCCTCTAGTTAGTCAGCTACATTCATATTTGGACATCCACATAAATGGCCTGCTTTTCAGAGCATCCACAGCTCCCACTGAAATGAGGCCACTTATGTAGGATTTAACAACCTAGCTTTAGGAATCCAAGACTGAAAATATTGGCCGTAGTGCGTGTTCAGCTAGATTGTTTTGCATACCACGGGATGGTTTACTTACCTGAGAAAATGCCTTGCTTTCTCTTGTTCTTCTTTCATCCTCGCTAGAAGAGGGGTTTCTCCATGATATACACCAACTTCCTTTTCCAATTCCTCTAACTTGTCAGTAAGCCTTCTCTGAGCTGCTTCTATGAAGACAATCATGTTAGTACATATAACTTACTGTGTATTCATTAAAATAGTGCACGTATTTAACTACAGTAGAATTGCATAGACCAGGAAAATGTAAATTTCTTTGACATTAACATCTTGGGACCCAATCCTGAAACTATTCACTATACAGCAGTGGCTCTCAAACTTTTTTACTGGTGACCCCTTTCACATAGCAAGACTCTGAGTGCGACCCCCCCTTATAAATTAAAAACACTTTTTTATATATCTAACACCATTATAAATGCTGGAGGCAAAGTGGAGTTTGGGGTGGAGGTTGACAGCTCATGACCCCCCATGTAATAACCGTGCGACTCCCTGAGGGGTTCCGACCCCCAATTTGAGAACCCCTGCTATACAGCATAATGCTAGTGCAAATTAAGCACTACACCTGGCAGTAAGTGTGATGGATTGGGGGCTATGTCTGGGCCAAGGTATAAATTCCATTTTAGTTTTTGTTAATGCCACGCTGTATTTCAACCTCCATTTTGAATGTAACTTTTGAAGTGTCTTTGAGCATCCATTTTGTAGCAGGAACTTGACAGCTAGTGAAAAGTCTGTGTCTGAGGAGGTGTGACAGAGCAATCAAAGACCATCAACACTGAATGGCTCTACTCCAGTGGATCAATTATTATTATTAATTATTTGTATTGTTGTAGCTTCTCTACCAGCAGGATCACTGACATTGAACGACTCTCTGCCCAGACATTCCTTGTATAAGAAATTCCTTCACTAAGCCTGTGTTTCCTTGCTTTCCTGCCATGTTGTCCCCGAAGTGTGTAACTAGAAAAACCAGAGCTCCCATAGCCAAGAATGGAACGAAGGAGAGGGATGTGTATGAGCAACAAGGGGCTCAGGCACTGGTTCCTGGGTCCAGGCAATCAGACTGTAAGGTCCCACTGCCCAAGAAGAGGGTCAGACATGGATCTGCAGCTGGGAATGTGCCTGAGCTAGGAACAGTGACTATCCACTACTCGTATCCAGATCCTGGGAGTGTATTAGTATGTGGGATTCAGTGATTGGATCCAATTACTACAGACTAGAGTCCATCCAGAGAGTGGGACTGGACCAGGTTGTGACAGTATTTGCAGGATCAGGCTCTTGGTTACTGTAAATCCAATTGGAATTCACCCCCGTTAAGTACAATGTGCTGCACCAAAAAATTTCTAATTCAGAACAGAGGAGCCTCTCAGAACTTTCACCTGGACATCAAACCGATCCAGAGGGGAAAGGAGACTGAACATGGCAGAAGCACAGTAATAAATAAATAGATAATTAACTTCCACTCAACCCCAGAAAATAAGTAACTAAATTGCATGGGCATGTGGTATTTTTATAATTTTAGGAATTGCAGTCCTGGGCTTCCAGGGGTCCAATGAACCAGAAACCACAGGGCAGGCTCTTTTTCTGCCACTGTAGTTCCAAGTATTGTCCTTATCGCTCAAATGGAACTAGAAAAATCCCTCCTGAAAACCCACTTCCTCTGCAAGGCTCTCCCCACATTAAGAAGAAATGTAAGAGGATCAAATAAAATATAAGATTAAATCGAGTTTGTAATAGGGTTACCATATTTGAACATTCAAAAAAGAGGACACTCCACGGGGCGGGGGTTAACCTTTGCTATTGCAGTGCCCTCCCGGACGTTTTTAGCTATTTAAATAGGGTTACCATACGTCCGTATTTTCCCGGGAGGAATTTTTAAAATTTAAAAATTCCTCCCGGATGGCGATTTAAGAACCAAAAAGCCTGACATGTCCAGGAAAATACGGACGTATGGTAACCCTACCTAAAGTTCTTGTTTAAAAAGATGGGCCTGAACTAGAAATGAGCTCCGTTTCACATGTGTGGATCCCAGCTGCTCCCTGCCCCTCTCATTGAAGCAGGTGTGCAGGGTTACTGCCCTGGGAACTGCAGGGCAGCAGTAGACATGGGGCCGGCTGCAGACAGGGGCATGGGGCAGGGCTAGCTGGAGGCAGGGGGTGTGAGGCTGGCTGCGGGCAGGGCAAGGGGTGTGTAGCTGGCTGGAAACGGGGTGTGGGGTTGGCTGGAGGCAGGGGAGTGCGGGATTGGCTGGAGACGGGGGGTGTGGGGCTGTCTGGAGGCAGGGCAGGGGCTGACTGGGGGGTGTGGGGCTGGCTGGAGGCAGGGCAGGGGCTGACTGGAGGTAGGGGCTGGCTGCAGGCAGGGCAGGCGGTGTGGCAGGGGCTGGCTGCAGGCAGGGGGTGCGGGGCCGGCTGGAGGCAGGGGCCGGCTGGAGGCAGGGGCTGGCTGGAGGCAGGGGGTGTGGGGCTGGCTGGAGGCAGGGGCCGGCTGGAGGCAGGGGCTGGCTGCGGACAGGGTGTCGGGTACTCACGGGGAGAGCGGCTCGGGGCAGCAGCGCACAGAGCAGCCCGAGCCGAGCAGGAGGACTCAGCCCAGGCCAGCAAAGCAGCCAGGGACCCGCCAGGCAGCAGCAGCGGCGGGAGCCCCAAGGCCAGGCCTAGCAGCAGCAGCGGGAGCCCCAAGGCCAGGCCCAGCAGCAGCAGTGGAGCCCCAGGGCCAGGGGAGCAGCACAGCAACAGGGCCCGTGCCCAGGGCCAGGCGGCGGCCACATGACTCCCGCTCCCACAGCGCCGCGCCCCCGGCCGGTGTGGGGCCGGAAGAGGAATGGCATCACTTCCTGGCTGGCCAGAGCCCATCAAAGCCGCAGCGCCCCCTCACACAGCGGGGTGAAGCGGGTTACACATTTAGCCGGGGCCGGGCGAGCATCCCAGACACACAGCTCCTACAGGTAACTCTAGGCTTACCATGCCTCCCTATTTTCCTGGACATGTTCGGCTTTTTGGAAACTCCTCCCGGACGGCGATTTGAGAACCAAAAAGCCGGACATGTCCGAGAAAATACGGACATATGGTAACCCTAGTTTGTAAGGTAACTCTCCCCTCTGGTTCTTCCAATGCATCCTGCTTTTTCTTGTGGGCTGAATGTCTCCTATACTGTAAACTCTTCAGGGCAGAGGCTGTCTTAATGTCTGTGTCTTGCACAGTGCCAAGCATGTTTGCCTGTGCTTAATAGCAATATGAATTAATTACAAAATGAGAGATGTGATGTTGGCATCTGAGCATATGGCCGGGAACCAGGATATAACAGGCATAACTTCACTGACGATTCACCAGGGATGAATTTGAACCCCTCAGCTTTAATCCCAGATCTCAAACCAGCTCCCATTCTGGCCTTGTACATGACACTTAAACTCTCTCTCAGTTTCTCCATCCCTAAAATGGCAGCAACTCAACTTTGGTGACAACTCTGGGTGCGGTGAGGATGAATTAACAATTTGTAAAGTGCTGTGAAGATGTGAAGCATTATGAGGGCTAAGCAACCACACCTACACATCCACACCGAAACAGTATTAAATGATATACAATTAGTAGTGGGTGGGCTCAGTCCAGCTCCAAGTGCACAGTTGCTCTCCTCATGAAACCAGTTACAAGTGGCGCTGATAGACGTCCTTGTTGGCAGTCTCTGCAAAGAGGCCAAGACTGGAACGGGCATATAGACTGAACTATCCCCTCAGCCCTAGCGGGAGCTTGGTTTTTCTAGGTCAGGGCTGAGGAATGTTGGCATGGTGGTTGGCATGGCATGGGATGGTGCATGCACTAATGGAGCATGTGTAGAACAGAGATGCAAGTACGGCAGTACGGTCTGGTACGCTGTACCAGTAAGATATTTATAGCCGGTACTCCATATCGGAAAGACACAGGAGCAGAACGCGGAGCTGCTGGGTGGCCATACACCCGCAGCTCCTCCAGCGTGGCTGTACCACCTCCATCCCTGCCCCCAGCCCTTCCATGCAGCTGCATCTCCTTTCTGGGGTCTGTACAGCAGCCCTGCCAGAGGACAGGGCTGGGGGCAGTACAGCCCGCTGGAGGAGCTGCCAGGTGGCCCTATGTTCTGCTCTTTCGCCTGTGGTTCCGGAGAGCCCTGTGGTTCAGAAGTCTCCGGCGCAGCGGGAAGAGGACAGAGGCCTGCCCCCCCCAGGTAACGTGGGTTGGATCATGGGGAGGGGAGAGCACCTGGAGAGCATGGGGCCCTGGGCTAGGGGTGGGGCAGGGAGAAGTCACGTGGGGTGTCATGTGCCCCCCCCCTTTAGCTGGTGCCTCCCCTTTGTGTCCCTCCCATGAGTGCAGTGTACTGGTAAGAAATGAATTCTACTTGCACCACTGGTGTAGAATCATTATAAACCAAGAAAAATTCAACTTCTACTGACATGGGGAAAGAAGTTTTACTTAGCCCTTACCTAGCGTACCCAGAACTGGTTTTCTTTGTGCCCTCTCCTCTGCAAGAGTTTCTTTACTTTTGAATGCAGGGAATAGGCTGGCCACCAGATCACATGTGGAGGGTGATGAGTGCAGATCTACATTTTTAACATCCCCAACATTACTCTCACTCCTTGGCTCAGGCTCTCTTCCACCTCTCGCAGATCTCGGGGGCCGAAAGGGAGACTTTCGAAGAGAAAAGCAAGCCTTGTTTCCTTTCAGCCTGGCAACCCCGTTACCAGACTCACTGCTGCTTGTGCTGAGGGAGAGATCCTGCTTGCCTTTTATCTCTTGAGCACCCAGTTTCTTTGGAGGTGGCTTGGTGTGCTTTTTCAGGGCCAGCTCTTCTGCTCCACTGGGCTCATCAGTAGCATAATCAGCATCAGAGAGATCCAAATTTTTGTCTGTGCGACCTGCTTTCTGAGGCATGTGCGTTGTGGGAGACCGAGTGCAGTAAGATTTGGGGTCATCCTCACTGTCAGTGGATGTGCAGCCTGACCCACTAGACAAAGGTTGAGCATTCAACCTGTTGGCAGCACTTCTATTACTTTGCCACTCTTGCTGGTGGCTGACAGATGTGATATTCTTTTTCCTGTCCATGCCTTGAGTTGATTTGTGGGTAACTTTCATTATTCTGTCATTAACCATCTTAAACCCAGTGATGGTTCCTCTTTGGGTCTCTGGGCTTTTGCTCACAGTGTAATCTTCATTGTGGCAACTGCTAATTCCTTTCACATCTGGTGTGAATTTGAGGCTTGTGCTCCAATCCATCTGCTTGGTTTGGCTTCCTTCTAAATTCTGAAGCTTAGAACCTTCTTGAAGGATTTCCAAGGGCTTTTCTGCTCTCTGAGTTAGATTGCCCCTCACACGCTGATCCACAATATCTAGGTCCTTTTGAACTGTAGACTCCATGGAACTTTTGTCTGCTTTGTCTGAATGTCCTAGAGAATCAGTACTTTGAGCTTTATTTTTCTCACCTATTTGTAGCTTCATTTCAGTAATTTGTTCCTGACACTGCTGCAGGAGTTCAGCCCAGTTCATCTGCAGTGGTACAGCAGGATCCTCCTTTGCACACACTTCTCCACCACCTCCTTCTCCTCTTTCTTCTGGGCATTGCTCAGGATCTCTTGCCTTACTGTCAACCTGAGCCTTTATTTCACTCATGGAGATAGTGCAATTTGTATTCTTCTCATTAGAGAGCAACACCGTGGGGCTGCTGGCCCGTCGATGTAAACGATTTAAATGTTTCCCCAGCTGTAATTTTCCTGCATCCTGTTGGCGAGGCAAAGAGAAGAGATTCTGGCAATCAAAGCTAACTCTTCTGGGATGTTTGGCTTGTCCTTTCACAAGGTTCTCTTTATTTTTTTCCAGCCTTGCAATGCCTTCTCCACGTTTCAGGAAAGATTTCCGAGGGGTTACTTTAGCCTCACAGAAGTTCTGCAAATACCAAAAATTATGTTTAAATTATGAGACATTCTTCAAAAATGGAGAGAGAAATCAGATCCCATTAGGCGGAAGCCATAATAATAAAAACAGTTTCTTTGTTGTATGCCACATTTTTCTATTTTCCTTTATATCAACACTTTTTAAAAACAGACAATGCTAGTTTTCCAGCATTGATACTGCTCAAGTCACACAGCACAAAATAAATTCTCACAGGGAGGAATATTATACGGAGATAATGTTCAAACAGTGTTATTTTAGTTAATCATTTTTTAGAAAGTCCTAAAAACCCTTCCAGAGTATTTGGTTAACATAAGTTAAAATTCACTTCTGAAATGCCCAGATATTTTTTGTAACCCTGTTAATTCAGTCCCTGTGCACAGCTATCTTAGAATTTTTATTTCCATGTGATCAAAGTGTTTTCCTATTTCTGCTTTCATAACAATGAAATAGTTTCGATATCTCAGATGAAAGGTATAAAAAATGTTAAAAAGTCATTCAATGATCACTTTGTGGCTAAGGCCCTGCATTTCTTTTTAAAAAAAATAAAAATTACAGAAAAATATATAAATTAACCTGCAAATATCTGCCTTCATGGTTCTGTGCTCTCTGCAACAGGTGATGACATCAAAGCTAGCACAAAATCATGTCCTCTTTTTCTAAGCTCAGGTATATGGACAAATTACTGAAAGTCAATGGGACTTGTGTTCCTAAGTAATTTTGGAACTTTTGAAAATCCCTCTCAACATGCACAGAATTGAAAGACAGCAAACAAATAAAGGATATCATAGAAGGCAGAATGATAGACAAATGTAATGAATATAACTGTGCATTACATACCAAATAATTCACTACTTCATTTTATTATTACATTTCCATGTAGAAAGAAATACTAAGATTTCCCAGAATTTCAGATTAAAGTGAACCATGGATGCCTGCTATTGTGCTGATGTGATCTGGCAAAAGCCTCCCAAAAATTCTGAGAGGTGTTAAAACTCTCCTTTATTTAATTTCAGGCCAGTGAAATTTATTAACGTAAACACCTTTGCTTTTATGTCATCTGGACAGCACTAAACGGTGTAGTGAAAAGGTTTATGGTATTAAGTAGTTTGAGTTCTATAAATCTAGATAATCTTTAAAAAAAAAAGTTTTCTTACGTTACTTGTATTTTTATAGTAGTACCTGAATTGATTGAGGAATGTATACTGTATACTGTATCACCTTGAAGTTTCCAAATGTTATACATTCTATTCTGGTTTCAGGGCCGGCTCCAGGCACCAGCTTCTCAAGCAGGTGCTTGGGGCGGCCGTTCCCGACAGGGGCGGCAGTTCCAGGTATTCGGCGGCAATTCGGCGGAGGGTCCCTCACTCCGCCTGGGAGTGAAGGACCTCCCGCCGAATTGCCGCCGCAGATCGCGAGCGCGGCTTTTTTTAGATCGCGATCGCGGCTTTTTTTTTTTTTTTTTTTTTGGTTTTGGCTGCTTGGGGCGGCCAAAACCCTGGAGCCGGCCCTGCTGGTTTAGTGATATAGAGTACAACGTTCTGGTTTGTGGTGATTATTTTGTCAATTTTGCAATGCTTACTGATAGATAAATTAATGGATAATATTTAAGAGGAGAAAATAGTTGTTTTAATAATCTGTTTATAAGGATAATTTTCCTTGAATTATATTAAAGTTGACCTTTTTCTGAAATCTCACACACCCAGGGATGAATTCCCAGCAAGTGGTCTCAGATTTTTTCTTCACTTGAGTTTTAATTGTATTTATTTGAACTGGAAAACCTAGCTGTAAACAATAGGTCAGCACTTGACAGTTTGCATAGTTGAAAATTACCAGGCTAAGGAGCCTTCTGATTAGAGCGGGTCAGGAATTTTGAGCGGGGAGAGAGGGGAGATTTTTTTGTTGTTGAAAAAATGCCAATTTGTTGAAACCAAAACTTTTCACAGGAAGTAGTTGGATTCAATGCATTTTTCAATTCAAAAAATTTTTGTTTAAAAAAAAAGATGTTGATATTTTCAAAATAAAAAATTTCTTGTTTTCTGGTTCAAAACAATTTTTGCACAGAAATTTACGCTAATTAGAGTAAAAAAAGTAAAATAAAATAAAAATGGTCAAAATCAAAATGACAGGTTTTGATTGACCCAAACAGAATTTATTTTCAATTCATAAACATTTTTGAGAGTCCAACTTTCTGTCCTGATTCAGACTGGGGAAAAAATGTTGCAATCTTGAAAACTGTCATTGGACAGGAGAACCATTTCCTGCCCAGCTCTTCTTCTGATGCTTAACCAACCTGTGAGAGATTTATAAGAACCTTCTAGATTCTGTATTATGCTTATCACTAAACTAAGATAGTTTACTCTTTCTGTTAACCTCATGTCACATCTGTTCTAATGTGCAAGTGTACCCCATTATTGTTCAGATATCTGAATTGAACACGAACTACACATGACACCATAAAAACTTTCAAACCCAAAATGTGTCCTTTAAGCGCTAAAAAGGCCATACACCCTCCATGCCACAGAAGACCCAAAGCTTGACAGAAACAATATGTTATGATGGGAAGCAAGAAGCAGAAAGTAGAAGCCTCCACATCCCTGTGTGCTGTGGAAGCAAGACTAGGGTTGTTTGTGGGTAGACAGCAGAATGGTGGCATGGACAATAGATCTTCAGACTGCACTGATCCACTGGACCACAAAACTGTGTGTGTACACAAGGAAAGAGATGCTGTACAGCAAGCTACAGCTGCTACTAGGGCCCATACACTGTACCAGCAGCTATGGCCTGAGTGAAAAGGTGACTCATACCCACCTCCAGCTCAGAGGAGGGAGGAATTCATCCTCCTTTACCTGTGCTTTGCACCCCAAGAGAGAGAGGAGTGAGGTCCAGTGGACTGAGTCTTGGACTAAGAGCCAGACACGTCTGCGTTCTGGCTGTGATATTGATTTCCGCAGTGACCTTGGGCAGCCACTTACCTTCTCTATCTGATTGTCCCAATTTGTAATACACTTAACTCACAAGAGTACTATATGGATCAATTAATATTTTTAAAGTTATCTGGGGGTGGAAACTACCACACAAAACCTACAGAAACAAGACGAGTGAGGTAATATTCTTAACTGGACCAACTTCTGTTGATGAGAGAGACAAGCTTTCGCGCTACCTGAAGAAGAGTTCCGTGTAGCCCGAAAGCTTGTCTCTCTCATCAATAGAAGTTGGTCCAACAAAAGATATTACCTCACCCACCTTGCCTCTCTAATACCCTGGGACCGACATGGCTACAACTACACTGCAAATGCAAAAGCAAAGAATTTTTATTTTTAGGCGTCCTCGGTGCCTGCAGGGAAGTCTTATCCACGTCATTGCTATGAGTGAGAGCTGTCATGTGGTTCCAGACAGGCTATGGCCCTAAGTGCTCTATTATTCAGAAAGCACAGTGGCTTCACCCAGTGCAAAGGTTCACACATGATAATACAAGCAAAGGATTCAATAAGAAACCTAACTGGGCCACCAGAAGCCTAGTCTACAGTACTGGCTTTGGGTGACTGCAAATGAGTCATAGCTAGCCCCCAGAGAGGATATGAGAACTACCAGCAGCAGCTGTGGGGCTTCTCCTTTAGCTCAAGTGGTAGAGGCTTGTGTGTTTGGAGCTAAAAGAAAGGGGTCTGGTTCAACTCCTTAGATTTAAGTATTTTCTGTAACAATTTTTTCTGATGTCCACACCTATTAATCATATTACACTAGGCTAACAGTTTCAAACTTGAATGCCTAAAGTTAAAGCACTTAAATCCATAATGAGGCACCTATATTAGCAGTCTGATTTCAGTTGTTGAGGTGTTGGGCTTCTGACTGACTTTGGATTTTTCAGCGTCTCTGAAAATCAGCCACTAATTTAGGTGCCTATATATGGATTTAAGTGCCTAATTTTAGGCACCCAAGTTGAAAAATTTTGGCCCTAATTTCTACTACTATTTCACATTTTATTCAGTAGCACCTACATACTAGCTATCCCTTATGCAAATGGGAGTACTAAATGACACGCAACAACTTATTTCCTTCTGTGTTATCTCTAGTGTTACTAAATATGATACTGGAAAAAAGAAGAACAGCCCCTAAGGATGAGATAAGTTTGCCTGCAGCTAAGGCAGGTATGACTGTTTTGTGTAATATCATATAGAAAGGAAGATAATGTATCAGTTTGAGTTTGTGCGTTACTTTGTTGGTGGACAAAGAGGAAACAGGAATCTATTGCTCTGGGTTTCCAAACGTTTGATACTGAATTGTATGTCTTCCAGGTCAGTAAATATAGCAAGGTGGCAGAGCTGGTAGACAGGATTGAAGATAAAATGCAGGTCTCAGTCACCCCAATTTCAAGTGGACAAAAGCCACTGCTACATTTGACACTAAGGGCCAGATTTTCAAGAGTGCTCAGCACCCAGTGGCTCCCGTTGTGACACTCATCCAGTGTGCTGAGCGCTGTTGAAAATCTGGCTCCTACCACATTGTACCCTTGCTGTCAGTCTCAGCAGAAAGGACTTAACGAGCCTTGGAAAATGATGTGTCTTCTCACCCCCATTCCCACATAGCTCATCCAGATCAGGTTTGGAGTACAACGTCAATAAGGCATGTGAGAAGTCTGGACTGTTAGTGTCCAAGATATACCTGTTCTGTGAATTATTTGAAGATCTGTCTTCAGGGCAACCAAATCAGAACATGTCACCAGGATTAAGGGTTTGATGCTGCCCAAGGTGCTGAGCACTCTGGCCCCAGTTCAGCAAAGCACTTAAGCACATGCTGATCTTTAAGCATGTGAGCAATCTCACTGATTAAGCACGTGGGATTACTCATGTGCTTAATTTGCAGGATTGGGACCAGCATGCTCAGCACTGGGCAGAATGAAGCACTAAATTCACATTAGAAAAGACAAAAAGCAGAGGGACATGATTATCAAACACCACCAGTTTTAGGATAGGGAACGGTGACCAATGGAATAACAGAGCCATCCTGAGATTTAATTTAGTTTAAATAAACTGGAGGAGGCTAGAATATAGGCCATGAAGTACCTAGATGAGTAGGATACTGTGAATATTAAACAGCCCACAAAATGTCAGCAATATCATAGGCAAACAGTGCATTTCTGGGGACACAACTTTAATTTGTGGAAGCTAGTCTAGGCCCCTCTAGCATTATTAACAGGTGAGGGGAGAAATTCACCCTTGTGCAAAGAGCCAGAACAAGGCCCATGTACCACTTAAGCCCATAGGGACTTGTAGAAACAAGCTGAACAGTTTCATCAATACAGCCAATAACACAGTACCTGCTGGTGGTTTTCTGTTATTTGAGAATCTACTTTAAGTTGTTCTTCAACAAATTCTTCAAAAGTCTTCTGTCTTACACCAATTCCTGGTCTGATTGGTCTAGGCAAAGAATAAGATGGCATCAAAAGTAATGACTTCCCAGCTATCTTTCTTTATAATTGTAGTACAGCTGACCTCTACTTCCAATTTCAAAGGTAATCTGCATTTTTTTAAAAGGGGAGGTGACAGAGCAATGAATGGAGCATAACCTGGCACCAATTAGGGCCAGGACATAGGAACCCATGCCTAGTGCGTGGAGCCAGGGTCAAAAGCCAGGAACCAGAACCGAGGGTTAGAGCTGCAGTCAGGAAAGGGAGCAGGACAGGTCTGGAGTAAGGTCTGTCATAACAGTCAACCAGTGATCCACCTAGTAGAAGAGACAGCTTCCTGGAACTCTCTCCATGCTTAAATAGTGCTCCTCTTGGACCAACCAGAGGTCACGGGGATACTGCTAATTGAGGCTTCCATGTGTGACGTTGTGCAGTCTATATGGTTTTATAAAAATATAAGTGAATGTAATGTAATTGGGATATGCTTCATGCAAAAGGTCTCTTGTAAGGTATCATTACAAAGCTCATAATCTACTGAGTGTGATCATCCTATTTGTAGAAATGTACCACTCTTGTATCTAAAACTAGAAATATAAAACACAACTCTGAGGGCCTATTGTAATTATGTAAAGTGTGGGCCATTAATGATGGTTTGGAATCTTGATGACTCCCATTAACAAGGACCATTGTCTGCAGATGACTGTGTTTACCTGTGAGTCTTCCTGTATATGTGTGTGCTGGCAAGTAGGTAATGAAGTCTTGCAGTGACATGTGATCATGTCACCTGAACTGGAATCCATCTTTAACCTGGTGCTTTTCCAGTGAGGGGGGGTGAAAACCCAGAGGGACAAAGAGTTCCCGCCTTATGCAAAAGATATATAAAGGGGTGGAAGAGAACAGAGAGAGGGAGGAGCCATCATGGAGAATCCCCTAGCTAACACCTAAGCTGGAACAAGAGCTGTACCAGGGAAAGAATTGTGCCCAGGCCTGGAAGGTGTCCAGTCTGAGAAAAACTTACTGAAGCATCTCTGAGGGTGAGATTATCTGTATTTAGTTTGATTAGGCATAGATTTGCGCATTTTATTTTATTTTGCCTGTGACTTACTTTGTTCTGTCTGTTACTACTTTGAACCACTTAAATCCTACCGTCTGTATTTAATAAAATCACTTTTTATTTAGTAATTTACTCAGAGTATGTATTAATACCTGGGGGAGCAAACAACTGTGCATATCTCTCTATCAGTGTTATAGAGGGCGAACAATTTACGAGTTTGCCCTGCATAAGCTTTATGCAGGGTAAAACGGATTTATCTGGGTTTAGACCCCATTGGGAGTTGGGTATCTGAGTGCTAAAGACAAGCACACTCCTGTGAGCTGTTTTTGGGTAAACTTGCAGCATTGGGACAAGTGATTCAGACCCTGGATCTGTGTTGAAGTGGACTGGAGTGTCTAATTCAGCAAGACAGGGTGCTGGAGTTCTGAGCTGGCAGGGAAAACAGAAGCAGGGGTAGTCTTTGCACATCGGGTGGCAGCTCCCAAGGGGGTTTCTGTGATCCAACCCGTCACACCATGGATGGCAGTTCCTGTGGTGCCTAGTCTCCCATGATTTACAGTGCATTGATCATGGCTCTACCATAGCTGCCAGAGTGTGGCAGGGCAGCATTGGTCATCTGGAGCCCTACAAACCAGGGTTCTGGCCCTCTGGATCCTTACAGGACCCACCTTTCACTTTGAAAATATCCTGTGTGAGCCTGAATATATGTTTTACAGCCAGACAGATAGCAAATTTCTCCTAAAACACTCGGAAATGGAAAATACCTAAAGGAAAAATAAATCTCAAAAGCAGGACTATTTTCCAACCCTGCACAGCCTGCTTATTCCAAGCACTTGTCCCAGACCCGCACCAGCTCCAGCAGAGAATAACACAGTGAGAGGGAGAAGTCTGAAATACTTGGTGAAAAAAGCGACATTTCACAGCATGCCCTTACTTTGTCAGAGGAGAAAAAGCATGTCTGTAATGCATTGGAAGGCCAAATGGAAGTCTCTGAATAACAGACCAGGGTAGTGAAGCAGAGGTAAACCTTTCAGTATTATACTGGGGATGTATCTAAAAGCTTATTTAAAAGGTCTCTGAAGTCTCAGGGAAAGCAAATCTTGAAAACATCATAAGATGTGAAAATACAAGCATGCTGAGGACACATATGGAAATATTTTTGGAGGGTCTTCTTAATTTGCCTTAGAAAAGCATCTCAGTATTTATCATTACTTCCTCCTTCCGGGTGGATGATCCTTGCTTGCTGATGACATTATTGCCGGATCTGGAGCTCTCTGAAGCTCAATGAAGAGTAAAATTATGGCTATAATTGTTGCTAATGCTCAAGAGATGTCTTGAGGCACCAGGTGATTTTTTTATGCATAGGCTTAATCACTTGAGGAAGCTAAGGGCTGCATTTTCAAAGGGCCTCAAACTGGCTTTCACTTGTTTTCATGAAACTTTGCACTTGCAGACACCATTTCAAGCACTAATTCCCGTGTGTGAAAGTTGATACATTCTAACACGTATGCAAGAATGGGTTTTGCACTTGTACATGCTACCACCTGTGTGTGCAGGTGCTAGTGCTCGAAAAGCGTGTGTGCAGGTGTTTGTATATGCAAAAATGGAGGGTGCTTTTGCAAAAATTAGCCCTAGTCTTCTTGCCCACAGGGGTCAGCTTTTTTCTTCCTTGTTTCCTGCTGCCCTGCTTCTTTGTAAACTATGCATAGTTGCTAATATTTAAAAGTTGTTTTTGGAATAATTAGGGTTGCCCCAGGGAAGGAGGAGTGAGTGAAAGAAAGTGTGTGTGAGAAGTATCTGTGTATGTAGTGTGCATCTCAGTGTTGCCAATATTGGTATTTTTTCTTAAAGCTTCAGCTCCAGGAGTCCTCTGATTTTGTGAGAATCTCAGCTTTCATTTTTAAAAACCCCAGTTTTCTAGCCCTCAAGACTGCAGAGAAGAGCTGGAAGATTTGAACCCGAAATTCAGAAGGCAAATGAAAGAACCCCAAAATTATCATTTTAAAAATCTCATTCTGGGGTGTGCGAGGCTGACTCATTATTATTATTATTTTTAAACACTTGTGGCTGGCAATCCTGAATCTTGGGGAATTCTAGGTTATTTAATATGAATGTTTCCCTGTGACAAGGTGTAAGGGTGCTTTGACATGAAAGGGGTTATCTGGGTCCTCACTATCACATAGCTGAGCTAGGCAAGATTATGCAAGAAAAGAGGAAGCTACTGCAAAGGAGGCTGTTGTAGGGGGAAGGGTGCATCCTTGTTCCCTTTCTCTTTAATTACATAAAATTTTATATAGGCAAAACCCATGTGTGACAGTCTTTTAGATGGCATTAAATATGGTCTTAGCTGTCCTTTTTGGGGAGGAAAAGAGAAAAGGTTAGTTGAGATGATCTTGAGCAGTTCTTGTAGTTGAAGTCTGGTCCAGTTTCCTTTAAGGCAAAACAAGGCAAAAGCACATGAAAGGGGTGAGAAAGGAACAGTAAAGATAGGAAATGCAGCTTCTGCCTCTGGGGCTGATTTTCACTTACAACCTTGCTGCTAGAAAAACACAGGCCCAGCACAGTCAGATCAGCCACTCGAACACCTGGCAAACTTTTACCAGCATCAAGCTGTGTTTAACTGTGCTTTTAGCTGTCCTTCACAGCAGTGTAGCAAAAGGTGGAGCTGTCTCGGCTGGCCAGTCTTATTAGGTAAAAGGCAAAAGGAGAGAGATAGGAAAGAGGAGAAATAAGGGAGGGTGGGGAAAGAAAGTAAGACATTCGGGAGGGGGTGACAGCAGGTTCACATCCCAATTGTTGGTCAGGATTTAGCCAAAGCCAGTGGAAGCAGCAATGCCATCTGGTTCCCTCTCTTTAACTGGGTCTGGTGAGGATGCCTTTGCAGATGAGAATGACAAAGGCCCAGCAGTGTCGTGGTGGGTCCCTGGATCCCTAGATCTGACAGGGCGGCAACCCCTGATGGTAGAACTTGCTTCTTACAACCCAGGTATCCCATTGTTCCTTTCAGTGATGCTCAGATGGGCAATATCAGACAATGGGTGACAATTAACATTAACCAATCAAAACACATGTTGGTGATTTCAACTGCAAACATTTCCTTCCATTTCTAGAATTATTCAGCTCAGTCATGCCAGCCAGTAACTTTAGCAGGAGCTTTAAAGACCCTTTATCCCAGTTCTTTAATGTAAACAGTCCAATTTGTACCAGTCTTGGTCTCCATCTTTTACTTTTACAATCAATTGTATATAATAGGCTAAATTGGACTTCGATTACCTGGGCAACTTCGACAACAAAGCTCTCTGTACAACAGTCCTCTCCCCTCCCAGCTGTCTTAAACTGAAAAGGCCTCGGGGGGTTATTACCCAGTAGTTTGAGCTGATCTGTTCTGGTGTGTTTGGAAACCCTGTGAAAGGGATATGAAGAGGCCCATCACTGGGACTTTATTTTATTTCTCTGGCTGGTTAGCCTGCACCCCCACTTACACCGGTGTGCTCAGGGCGTCTGGCCCCGTCCCAGCACACCTCCTCCATTTGACTGTTTTTCTAGGAGGTGATTGAATGTTGTCATCGGGGTTTCTGCTCTGGAGCTGGCAGCCCTATCAAGGAGCCATGGAACTGTCCCACCTTCACCCATGCACACAAGCTAATCTCATAATAGGGAAAGGAGCTTTGTCTGTGATACCCATTGATATGCTAGCATTTGCAATTTACTGTATGCAGGGGTGCTGGAACAATTTTTATAGTGGAGGTGCTGAGAGCCATTGAACCAAACTGTAAACCCTGTATTTAGAAACTACTTCAAGCCAGGGGGTGTGGCAGCACCCCAAGCACCCCTAGTTCCAGCACCTAGGACTTTATGTGTATAAAAGTGAGGAAAACTAGTAACTGTTCACTGACAGTTTTATCTGTATCATTGTAAATGACAAACTAAACCCTTTCCTCACCTGTCTTCCAGGTTTCTAGTCCTTGCGTCCATCCTTATGCCAAAAGGGGAAAGGGGAATCTGTTCATCAGTTTGCTCTCCCTCTTCTTCTTTAATGGCAGGCAGAGTATTAGGACAAGCCTCTTCCTTTAGTGGGCTTTCATCTAAACAGCAGTAAGGAGGGACATAAGAAGAAAGCCTTGACATTTTTCAAGTTTTCTATAACTTCTAAGATTTTTTAATGTTTGAAAATGCTTCCTGGAATATTTTAAACTTAACTAGACAGAAGAATGAGACTCACAAAAGACCACAAGAATCTCTAATCCCTAAATCTAATGATTACAAAGAAGGAAAGTGAAAATGAATTCATTTATGCTCGTTCAATGTATAAAACTGAAATTAACTGGCTAGTAAGTGTATTGCACAGCATTGCTATCTGCTGGATAGAATTAAACCTGCTCAAGTGTGTCCGTTTATGTCGCCTACTAAATGGATACAAAAAGAGCGGCATGTCGTTTTTGTAATAGGAGGTGTTGTCACAAAAATGTGCCAACCCCTCACACTCTCCAAACTGAACCAACTGGCAAGACTCACTACAGCTAGTAGGTTGTCACTTTGATAAAAGCCTAATACTAGTGTCAACCAATGGAGAATTACTTCTTTAGTTCAAATCACAGAATTCTGTGGTCCAGGAGCAGAAGAGCCTATGTTTGATCCTTCATGTTTAACAAATATGACATTGCTGGCAACTCGTGTCCACTCTTTGCAGCACAAATACAGCAAGCGCTACTGAAGCCCTGTGGAGACATCTTGATTTTCCTCTCCAACAGACATCCCAACCCCCAATGCCAAGCCAAGCTACTCCAGCTTTGCACAGGGGAGAGTATTTTGCTCCTAGAGAAAAAGCATCTGCAAGTGTTTAATGGAGGTTAACAACTAGTTTCATTTAGCTTGAATGACTTAATGTAGGTGATTTACCAAGAATCAGATTCACCAGGAACTGGTGCATGGAGATCTAAGTTACTCCTCTTTGGGATCAGCTGTAGTTTAGTTTATGGCTGGCACACTCCAGAGGAAGTAAACAGAGCAATGCTAATTTATGCCAGATGGAGATACAGCCCAAAGAGTTTAAGTGGCATGTTCAAGGTCACACAGCAAGTTAAGTAGCAGAACTGGAACTAGAACCAAGCTCTCCTGGCTTCCAAGCCTGTGCCCGATGCACTGAGCCATGCTGCGTCCCTTGCCTTTCTATATTGCCTGCCTAACTCTGCAAACAGTGCCAAGATGAGCTCTCTGATATATGAGTTGCTCTAGCTCTACAATTTTCAAACTAAGAGGAAGAATAATATGCATAATGCGCAGTGTACTGGAGAAAGAAAATACTCTTCATAACCCCTCCCAAAACACACTTAGCATGTTTCCTCTTTCTCTTACAGGAACTCGATACATTGCTCAGATCTGTTCCTGTAATTCACCTTTGCTGGCTGTGATTTCCTCTTCTTGAGCATCTTGTCTGGAAAGTTTTCTTGTGGGGCTTCCAGCACTTTGAGATAATGACTCAATCTCTTTCCCTATAGTCAGAGAAACTCCTTTTTTTTTTTAGTTTATATACGTTTTGACACTTGTTGTTAGTTTTCAAGTCTAGGGCCTAACAAAACACACCCATCGTAATTTCGACTAGGCCCCAGTTCAGCGAAGTACTTAAGCATATGCCTAACCAGTCATGTTTAAAGTCAGGCACTGGCTTAAATACCCTGCTGAATGGGTCCCTTGGTGTCTCCCACTGTAAAAGGAAACCATACCATTGTGCTGTAGCTGGTCTTGATATGCAATAAACTTAAAGGAAGCTAGGGCAAAGGTCTGATTTACATTTTCTCCCCTTGGCACTTAATTGCCTTCACCATTTGCACTTTTTTGCATCCCTTCCATAATAAATTCTCCCTGCTTTACCATGGTTTCTCATTTCTTGTTCTTGCTATCACTTTCTTTGACCACTTTGGCTTTGCTTCCTTCTCACTCCTCAACATTTTCTTATAAAGCAGTTTCTCAACTACCAGTCTGTGGACTGGCACCAGTCCCTGAGATCTCCCTGAAGTTTAGGAAGGCAGCAAGCCAGTCTCTGTTATCAAAAAGGTTGAGAAATACTGTTGAGGATGAGTATCAGGGGGTAGCCGTGTTAGTCTGTATCTACAAAAACAACAAGGAGTCTGGTGGCACCTTAAAGACTAACAGATTTATTTGGGCATAAGCTTTCACGAAAGCTTATGCCCAAATAAATCTGTTAGTCTTTAAGGTGCCACCAGACTCCTTGTTGTTTTTGTTGAGGATGAGTACAGCACAGTGTGATACGGGGGGAAAAAAGCCAGACTGGAGCTTCCATCCCTGTCCTTTTAAGGCAGGACCACCTGCGTCTGTGAAAACACGGAGAGTGCTAACACAGAGACTTCCTCCTTAGCTAAGCAGATGCATCTATCACCTTTGGAAGCCATATCACTTAGTTCCTTCTTATCGTCTCTCCCCTGGAAACCACCATGTTCCCTACACTCTATGACTCAACTTTTTTATTTTAATCTAACATTTATTTCTGTTCCATCCACATCAAGAAGCCTCTGATTACTTGGTTAGCACTGGAAATAGCATGGCCACCATCTCCAACTAGTGGGGAAATGAGTTTAAAACTTTATTTCAAACCTTTTAAAACAAAAAAAACCATCAAAAATCATATAGATTTTAGCTTTCATGATTGGCACAATGTCCTTGGGTGCAGATTTCCAGTGCCTTGGTTAATTCCCCACCTGGACTTCGAGGTTGCAGGCGCTCCCCTAAGGTTTCTGAGCAGCTATTGTTGGGTGAGGATGCTGGGGAACGTCTCTGAAGGGAAGTCTGCGTTATTGATGGACTGGTTTGTAAATGTCCGTGGTTCTGGACTGGTGAAGAGTTTTCCAAAGGGAGCTGGACAGGAAACAAAGTGGCAGGAAATCTTGGAAGTGTTGGCACCATGGCAACGAGCTGGGAAGGGGTGCCGGGACAGACTGAAAAGCCTGCGATAACAAACAAAGGAGAAAAGTCAGTCTGGTATAGAACCAGTTCTGACCCAGAATACTCCTGCTAAACAGGCATTGTACTAAAATACTCATTTTTTCATGTTTACCGGTGTTTACATGTTCAGCCAAAATGCTAAAATATTGAATCTTGTTATAAGATTTATTTTTAATGTTTAAACTAGGCCTACCACAACCACCAGTTACATGCCCATAATTATTAAACACCACATAGATCAGAGCATAACTCAGCTGACACATTGTCATTTAAAGGGTCCTCACAAAGTACCCCCAAGCAAAGAAAATCAGGTGCCCTCCATCTCTTCTAGGCCAGCTCGTCAGGCAAAAACGTGACTAAACAGAAAGGCCTTGCAATGGCTCCCAAAGGGGAACTAAGGCATTCTCAGTGCAGTGATGGAAGTGAGGGGGCCTTCCCAAAGAGCACCCAGACACCAGAAATACAGAGTAGGGACTGTCAGTATGAGCACTTCTAGTGTCAGGGTAGAGCACCTGGAGAGAAGAGGTTTCTAGACATTCTAGATATAACTTTAATACCGCTCTGAAATATTTAATTTTGAAGGGACTATGCCTCCTAATGAGATACATCAAATAATAAATTAAATCTATTCCATACTGGCTAGCAGCTCCAACTAGATGACCAGGCCAATCTCATCTTTCCTTGCTGGGCCCCACTGAATACTGGACTTGAACTCAAGGTTCTGAATTGTTAGGAGGTTTTACCTGCAATGCTGTCCTCTGCCACCAGGGACTATAGCTCTAACTACTAGACAGATTCCCCCTGCCAGGAACCTAGCTCCCTGTTCTTTGCCTCTCTGATTGCACAGCAGGGAAACAAAGGAGCAGCAGCTAACAAGGGAGGCAGAGAAAGCAAGCAAGCAGAGGCACCAGGTCAAACCTGACTTGTTTTGTAGATCTCTTGGAGATTTAAAATTCATGCCCAGTATGAAGGCAGCATACGACAGGCCATCACTAGGAGGGCCATCACTAGGGGGGTGCGAGGCCTAGGATGGAAGTGACGAATCCGTCACTTCCAGGACTGACTGCTCCAGCCAATTGCACCGGCCCGAGGGGCCCCCCAAAATGCGAGGCCCAGAGCAGTCACCCCAATTTGCCATACCCAAGGGACAGCTCTGACTGCAGAATTAGGGCTGCTAACTTTCTAATCGCACAAAACCAAACACCCCTGCCCCTGCCCCGAGGCCCTGCCTCTACCCTGCCCTTTCTCTGAGACCCTGTCCCTGCTTGCACCATCCCCGCTCTCTCCGTCGTTCACTCTCCCCCACCCTCAATACTTTCACCGGGTTGGGGTGCGGGAGGGGGGCGAGGGCTCCTACTGGGGGTGCCAGCTCTGGGGTGGGACCAGGGATGAGGGGTTTGGGGTGCGGGAGAGGACTCCAGGCTGGGGCAGGGGGTTGGGGAGTGGGGTGTATGGGCTCTGGGTTGGGAGTGTGGGCTCCAGGTGAGGCTACAAATGAGGGGTTCAGGGTGTGGGAGATGGCTCCAGGCTGGGGCAGAAGGTTAGGGTGCGGGAGGGGGTGGGGGGTTTGGGGTTCCAGTGGCACTTACCATGGCTCCCAGGAAGCGGCTTCCAGGTCCCTGCAGCCCCTAGATGCATGGGCAGCCAGGGAGCCTCCATGCACTGCCCTCGCATCTGCAGGTGCTGCCCCCGCAGCTCCCATTAGTCATGGTTCCTGGCCAATGGGAACTGCGGAGCCGGAACTGGGGGAGGGAGCAGCACACAGAGCCTCCCTGGCCGCCCATGAGTCTAGGGGCTGCAGGAACCTGGCGGACGCTTCCAGGAGCCACGTGGAGCTAGGGCAGGCAGGGAGCCTGCCTTAGCCCTGGGCCTCCACTGCACCATCGACCGGACTTTTAATGGCCCAGTCGGCGGTGCCAACTGGAGCCACCAGCGTCTCTTTTCGACCAGGTGTTCCGGTCAAAAACCAGATGCCTGGCAACTCTATGCAGAATGTATCTGGTCTATAGGGTAAAGGGTCTATCATGCTGTCCCAATTGTGTCATTTTTGTGTCATTTGTGCACCAATGGAATCATCAATAATTGGTCATGAGACTGAAAAAAAAATGTATTTTAATATAAAGATAATATATGACATTATGTTCGCTAAGGAGAGGGGTTAAGACCTTCATCTTACAGGCAATGGCTAGAACTGCCTGTTACCCTCAGAGTCTGGTCCTGCCCCATCTGATTCAGCACATTAGTAATCCCCCAGAGTAAATTGCATTTCACATACAATGTAAAGCTAAGTTCCAACCACCCTGAGATTTTTGGCTCACATACACTGATTTCCATATGGAAAATGTTCTTAACAGATGGCTTGGCCTGGCCACACAGACAGCTGCATGCTCTTTGCTCAGACCGCGCTCTGAAAGTCATGACTTAGAATCATAGACTCATAGAAGATGAGGGTTGGAAGAGACCTCAGGAGGTCATCTAGTCCAACCCCCTGCTCAAAGCAGGAACACCACCAACTAAATTCTTCCTCACCTCACCCATCTGTCTCTTCTATGCTGTTGCACCCTTCACAAACCATTCCTGACAGCTCCACTTAACTCCTGTGCACACTCCCAACTTGGAGCCTTCTTCTTCCACACTTGGAGCAGACTCTCGGAGGAGGGACACTGCTCACCTACGGCACCTCATGTGGGTATTGTGAGGCATGGGGACAGATTCTGCCCCCCGAAACAGCCCTTTTAAGCAACTGCAACAGCATGAAAGGTCTGCAATACCCCTCTAAGAAATTATCCCAGCACAGGGCCAAGAGCCCTTCACCACCCTCACACACAGCCCTGGCGTAAGGGCATGGCTAGGAGCAGATCAGGAGTGGGGATGGCTAGAGTACTTTGTGCTCCAGTTACTCTAGGCTGCAGCAAAGCCCACAGCAAAGGCCACCCTGGGGCTTCTCTAACTTGTACCTGGGGCTGCACCAGCCCCTGGAGCACCCCAGAATTAGGGAAGACACCTCTGCATCTCCCCACCTGTTCTACATTTTCCAGGAATTCACAGCTTTTCCCTTGGATTTCTGGGTGGCTCCTGTTAGTCTTTAAGGTGCCACCAGACTCCTTGTTGTTTTTGTAGATACAGACTAACACGGCTACCCCTTGATACTGGGTGGCTCCTGGATTCCTAGATAGGAGCTCGCCAATCACAGGCTCCTTCTGCACACAGCCAGGGAAAGAGAGCAACTGGCGTTTGGCTGACTCTCTCCCTGTGAAGCACCAATCAAGTGTGCTTCCCACTGCTACCCTCTGAAGGGCTTGGAGAAAGCAGTCAGTCCTGTGGAGAAAGCTGAGCAATTCTAGGAGGAGAAGCATAGCTTCCAACTTTCCCTGGGGGTGCTCAACCCCTACTCAACCCTAGGCCCCACCCCCACTGCACCCCTTCCCCTAGTCCCCCACCCCTGCCCCGCATCTTCCCACCACTGCTCCGCCCCCACCCTGCCTCTTCCCACCCAGTCCCACCTCTCTTCTGAGCAAGCCCCATTCCTGCTCCTTCCCCTCCCTCCCAGCGCCTTCTGCACGCCATGGAACAGCTGATCCGCGACGGGCAGGAGGCACTGGGAGGGAAGGGAAGGAGTTGATTGGCGAGGCTGCTGGCGGGCGGGAGGTGCTGGGGGGAGGGGAGCTTGGTCCTGGAGTTCCCACAGAGTCGGCGCCTATTAGGAGAAGGGTACTGAAGAAAAAACCACAACAGGTAGTCTGTGTGTGTGTGTGTGTATACACAGAGAGAAAAGAGTCAGAGAGAGAAGTGTCATTTGGGTTTAAAAAAAAACTGTTCAATGACTTTCAGTTCCAGAAACTGGAGTCATTTTAAGCACACTGGGGAAGAAATCATGTGACATTATGTTACTGCATTTCCAGTAAATTCTCTGGGAACGGCAGTGTAATTAGTGTCACTTAATCCAGTGCTAGTGACTCGTTAGTAACGAGACTTGAAGTACCATTGTTCAGACACGCAGAAACATGCCACCCCCCTCTTTTTTTAGCTGCATAGAAGTGGTAGACATTAAAATGGAATCATCTCTCTTATTGGGAGACTGATTTTCTCAATAAATCACCATATTTTCTTTTCCCTAAAAAGGATGGCAATATAATAGTGACTTGTTTGTACCATGGAAGGCTAAATAACACTTAACACTTTTCTGGGGTTTTACATCTGTAAAGCATAAATAGAGCCAGATCATACAAGGAGCTGAGCATCCTCAACTCACATTGTTCCACTGGGAGTTGAATGCTCAGTGCTTCACAGGAGGTGCAGATTCAGGCCAAGATTTCATGTTCAGGAAACCATTCTGTGTGTGGTTTTGTGTACACACATCTATACGTATGTATAAATATACACACATACGTAGTACAGTTTACATTTTATTTAATGATGCTTAATAGTGGTTTACTTTTGACCTCCTGATGCTGATGGTATACTTCCTTCTCTGAGAAATGCAGAAGTAATTACAGTATTAGGAGGAAAAGAAACCCTTTTTTTGGGGGCTTTAAAGTGTAACATGATCCAGAGGGGTTTCAGTTTTTCAGTCCTTTTGAGGAGCCAGCAGAAAATGACAAGTTCTAAATGCTCTGTTTACAATGAGGCTGTGGAAATAGCCATGAACATCCTATTAATTTTGGAATTTGGGCTGGGACTCACAAGCAATGCTATTGCTCTGTGGACGTTCTACTTCCGTTTGAAAATTTGGAAGCCACACGCTGTCTACTTGCTCAACCTGGTTATCGCAGACGTCTTGCTGAACATTTGCCTGCCGTTTCGACTGGCGCTTGCTCTCAGGTTTAGCATTATAGAGACATGGGATTATAGAGAGCGACTCTGTTCAGTAATACTCTTCGCACTGTCTCTTTCCCAAGCTGTCTCCATCGCATTCCTCACTGCTGTGGCTCTGGATCGCTATTTCCGGGTGGTCCACCCTAACAATAAAACCAGCTCTCTCACAGCCAGGAATGCTAAAGTCATTGCTTGCTTGGTTTGGCTTTTAGCAATTGGATTGACTGTTGAGATCCTGGTTGCTCCTCAACCCAAAAACTCCACTGAGTGCCGCAGTTTCACCCTACAAGGAGAAGCCAACTTCTACAGCATCTGGCATGTCATCGTATTCTTTTTGGAGTTTCTCGTTCCCTTTGGCCTCATTTTGTTTTGCACAGTTGGCATCATCAGGAAGCTGAAGAAGAGCCCCCGTGATTTGAGCAGTCAACCTAAGCTGCGGAAAGCCATGTTGTTAGTGATTGCAGTGGTGGTGGTGTTCGGAGTTTGCTTCCTGCCTAGCGTGTTGGGCAGAGTGCTTGTGTATATTCTCCAAAGCTTTGAAAGTTGTGCAGCTTTTCGTTCTGCTGTGAATGTATTTGATGTTACTATCTGCTGGACCTATCTCAACAGTGCTTTGGACCCCATCGTGTACTGCTTCTCAAGTCCGACTTTTCGAAGTTCCTATAGAAAGATCATTAATTCTTTAAGGGTGAGAAGAAATGAAGTGGAACCCCAGAGCTTGGACATTTCCAAAGATTCTGAAAGTTGAAGCCATTGGAAAGATTCTGATAATCTCTAATGTATATGCCAGGTTGGAAAGGAAACTTTCCCCCCCTCCCCATTACCATGTCTTATCCTGCAAATGAAGGGTCTGTCAGAACTCAGCTGTTCTAAATCCTTTCATTCCATTGGGCTGGAATTCTAGTTAAACAAGTCAAAAACCTAGATGTAACGTTAGGTGATGTATATCAGGGTAGCTCCATTGACTTAAGTGGAGATATGCCAATTTATGCCAGCAGAGGATCTGATTATTTCTTTTTACAAAATCTACAGTCTAAGGGCCCCGATCTTGCTCCCACTAAAGTCAATAGTAAAACTCCTACTGACTCCAGTGGAAGTAGGGGATGCTGTCTTAAATCAGTTTAAAATTGTGATATATACAAAAGCCAAATAGATTCTCCAACCCTTAAAATTATTTTCTTATACTTAGCTGTACCTAATATAAAGATTAACATGAATGAAGCTTTACAAGCAGTTGTTCCTTATATGTTGACTGAAACTTGAATTTAGATTATAAATAATTCTGTCCAAACTAGCCATGTTCTGTTCCTTCATGTACATGTGAGGCACTATTGTTTTATTTTTACAGGGATAGAGCAGGGGTGGGCAAACTATGGCCCGCGAGCTGTCTTAAGCTGGCCTGCAAGCTCCCGCTGGGGAGAGAGGTCTGGGGCTTGCCCCACTCCAGTGCTCCAGCCGGGGCGCTGGGTTGGGGGCCACATCATGCAGCTCGGCCACGCTCCGGCGCTCTGGCCAGGGTGCAGGGTTGGGGCTGCAGCACATGGCTCCTGGAAGCAGCCGCATGGCCCTGCTCCAGCTCCTACGCGCTCCAATGGGAGCTGCAGGGGCAGTGCCTGCGGATGGGGCAGCGTGCAGAGCTGCCTGGCCGTACCTCCGCGCAGGAGTTGGAGAAGGGACATGCCGCTGCTTCCGGGAGCCGCTTGAGGTAAGTGCTGCTCAGAGCCTGCACCCCTGAGCCTCTCCTCATGCCCCAACCTCCTGCCCCAGCCTTGATGCCCCTCCCGCTCTCCAAACCCCTTGATCCCAACCCAGAGCACCATCCTGCACCCCAAACCTCTCATCCTCAGCCCCCACCCCAGAGCCCGCACTCCCAGCTGGAAACTACACCCCTTCCTGTACCCCTGCCCCAACCCTGACCCCCTCCTGCCCTCTGAACCCCTCGATCCCAGTCCAGAGCACCCTCCTACACCCCAAACTCCTCATCCCCAGCCCCCCCCCAAAGCCCCCCCCCCCAACCAGAGCCTTCACCTCCTCCTGCACCCCAACCCCAATTTTGTGAGCATTCATGGCCCACCATACAATTTCTATTCACGGATGTGGCAGTCAGGCCAAAAAGTTTGCCCACCACAGGGATAGAGGGACTTTATTGTCTTTTGTCAAGAATGTTTCCTATACATAGTACAGCAGGAGTGGGGGAAGTGAAACTGAAAAAGATTTACATCTTTGATTGCAAAATGCTCCCTCTGTGAACCCATGAAGCTTTGCAATTCACTCATTCTATTATCTGGTGGAACAATATCTTGGGTCTAGTGAGAAATGCTGAGGTGTGGACCATATTTTACCAAGAATCATTATGAATTGCACATACTATTTCCTGATGGTCTAATTTTTAAGTCAAGTTTTTATTTCTTTACCAATCATTATTTCTGCATTATAGAAATATAAAAAGATAGCAGCGTGAAGGTCCATTTAACACCCAGTCCCCTACAATCACAGAAGATGGACCATGCAAGAGACACCCATAACATCCTTAAGGATCATCGGTCGCTGCTGAATGCTCTAACTAAGACCTATGCAGTGTAGTTATAGCTGTTTCAGTACCAGGATATTTGAGAGACAAGGTGGGTGAGGTAATATCTTTTACTGGACCATTCAAGAGCTCTGTTGAGTCCATGATTTTTAGTGATTAACAGAGTTATGACCCTGGATTTATGGATTATTACAAATCTATAATCCACTAACCCCCTTTTTGTCCTATGACTGCAAAGGTGTTAACAGGCCACTCTACCTTGAATGGTCCCTTAGAATATGAGCTAGCTACTTATGCTAACCAATCTGTTCCACCTTGTATTTAGCTGTAACGCTCTCAGTATCTTTCCCAGAGCTGAAGAAGAGCTCTGTGTGGCTTGAAAGCTTGTCTCTCTCACCAACAGAAGTTGGTCCAATAAAAAATATTACCTCACCTTAGCCAAGACCTGCCAGTCTGAGTCAGGGCATGCAGGTTGTCCATTGGAATCTAGGTTTCCCTCCATCCCTTACATACATACATACATACATACACACACACACACACACACACAGTGAAAAACCAGTTCTGAGCTATACAAGAGTAAAAAAGTATCAAATGTTGAGTTATATTTTCCACCAGAACTCAGGGATTTAAAGAGTCAAAACCTGTTTGTTCCAGCACTTCCCCACTACCAAAGCCACCGTCCTGCACCACATTGCAGTCTGAAGCTAGTCCCATAATTTTACACCCTGACACCCCTACTCAAAAACACACCATGGTAACCCACAGATGCGCAAAGAATTCTGTACTGCTTCATACTATACTATATATGAGGGACACAAATGGAACATGATTTTCTTTACAATGACTGCACAGCCTGTATTTTTTGCGAAGGGAAGGAGGTGGGGGAAGATGGAAGGACATGCATGCCTGGGGTTGGAAAAAGCCTGTGTCACTAAAAGCATGGAGAAATCATTTAACAGCAGTTTAACCACATAAAATATGACCCTGTCCAGAATTAGTGACATTTGCATCGTAAGTGTTGGTTGAACAGTTTAAAGCTACTTGTGAGCTCTGCAATCCTAAGCATTTTGCCAAACCTATTCAGAATTGTGATAGAAGACCTTTTCTAAGGGATGCAGGTGATCCATGATTACAACATTGCAGGAATCATTGTTCATGGGTTCTTGATGAACTAGAGTTTAGCCTAGCATACGTTATGGCATGTCCTACAGCTGCAGACCACCAGCAGTGGAAAGTTTGTCCTCAAGGCATCTCAGCAGCACAAGATACTTGCAATCCCCAAATTGGGTAATGTAGCCCAGAAAGTGGAGAGGGGAGGCCAGGATGCCAGAGCAATGTACAGATGCAGGCAACGTTTGCCAGTGGGGCACTGTGGAGCCCTGTCCAAAGGAAAAAACTGTTCCCCCCTGGTGGAACACCTCCAGGAGGGAACCAATTCAAAGCTCCTTTGGCTTTTCTGTGCCTCATTCTCTACTTCCCCCTGCTTGCACTCATGCAGAGGGACCCTGCAAAACCAGACTCCGTGCAGTGGGTGAAGATCCCAGCTGGTCCCTCACATATCCAGTCTCACTTGCACTGTGGAACCACACCCATTCCAAAGTTGGGAGGGGGCAAGGAAATCCCTGCAGAGGATGGATTCTCCTTTTCTCATCTGCTATGCTGATGGCATTTTCTGGCACTGCTACCATTAAGGAGGAAGCTGTTCCGGAAGTTATATTATAATCTTGTATTGTGGGGAAGAGACTGAATTATCAGCACTAGAAGCCCTGTCTGCTGAATCCCTTCCCTTCCCCTTCTCGTCTAGTTTTGACATAGTGAGAAAGAAGATATTTTAGGTTTTAGCAGTGCCTCCCACTACACTAAAATTTATTACAACACTAATGAATTTTAATCTAAACTTTAGTCGACACATGTACATGAATGTCTGTTAGTATTAAACAAAAATGCACTTTTACACATGAAATGTCTGTAGGAAATACTTAAAGTCAAAGAAAAGTTTTCTGGAGTTACCATTTTTGTGGTGTGAATAAAATATTTTAGTACAACTCTCAGATGAAGATCCTTCTACTTCCTCCGACCAACCCCATATCATAGCTTGAATTTATTCTGGGAACTACAGCATTTCATTGTAGGAATGTGAACAGCTGCCACGTACAGTACTGAGTTCTTAGGAGGAAATCCCGGTAGTACCTGGGTTATAGTATGTGATGATTTTCTGTTGTTCAGTTACCAGCCTTTGCAGCTGCTCCATCTGTTCCATCATCACAATTTCCTGCTGCCCTGGGCTCTGTAAATAGCACCAACAAAATGAATTAAAATATGCTCATCTCTCCCTTTTAACAGGAAGGAATCTTTCTTTTCGGAGTCTAGTTTTGAGGTGTTTGTTTTTTTTAAAAAGGTGATTCCATTGTTTTATTCCAATAAAAAGAGAGTGTATTTGTATTTAAACATTTTTTTGCAGAGATAACGCTCAAAGAAAACAGCAGTGTGATAGGTTAGAGCCTTGCAGCGGGAATGGGAGCCCATGGGTCCTGCAGGACCCGCTGGCATAATTCTGGGAGCAGATAAACTGTACTTTATTGTGGGAGGGATTGGGTGGGCAAAAAAAAGCAACAGCCAAAAAAAACCAGACTGCAGTAATTTGTGGCTAAACACTAAATCTCTCATCAGTTTGTCATAAATAGAATTTCAGCAATGAAAAGCAAGTTTTTCTTTTTCTTAAATAAAGGTTTTAATACTTAAATTTAAATGAGGGATAGAAAGAGATTTCATGTCCATTATAACAGGAGTTAAAAAAAATCAAAAAATGGTCAGTTTATATATATGTATATATATATAAAAACTGACAATGTTTTTATTTTTTTTAGTGGCACGGGGGAATCTGTCTTTCTTGCAGGATTTGTGGGATCTAAGGGTTTTGCAGGTGGGAGTGGGATAAAAATGCAAGAAACTATGTGGGACCCGGTGGGAGTTGGTATTGCAGGGCAGGATGGGAGCCAGGATTTTAAAAATAGTCGGGCACAAGGCTCTGTGCTAGGGTATCAGAATCAGGAAGTGAAACTGACCATTTTTTCCACTGTCCAACTTGAGTGAAATTCTAAATGTAAATTAACCACGTAAATGATGAAAAGTAGAGTTTTTAAATTCTTTCACTTGCAATAGTCTATGATACTGTTAGTAACGTATATGGGAAAAAAATTAAACACAATTTTAATCTTGACAGTATTCTCACTCACTTTCCCAAGCTTTGATGTCTTATTGCAGTTTTTACAGTCAAATCACACATAGTTAAAAACATATTCAAGAGTGAATTATTTCATAGTGTTATTCAGTATTATTGCTGGTAGAAAAATACACACGTTTAAAAAAAAAATGAAATTTTTCCAGAACATTTTTCTTTGAAAATTTAGACCACTCTATAAGCCAGTCAAAAAGCAGTAAAACATTTCTGCAAAACAATTTCCTTGAAATTTCAAGTGTTTTAAACATTTCACCCAGCTCTATTAGAATAAGCTATATCAGTAGAGCGAAACACGTTTGCTGGCAGATTTCTGAGCTGCTATGTCAATAATTCATGACCTGATTTGCAGAGGTACTGAGCACATACAACTCTCACAAAAGCCAATGGGATTTGTAGGTGTCTCCGTAAACCTGGGTTCTATTCTCAGCTCTGCCGCTGACCTGCTGAGTGACATTGGCCAAGTCACTTCACTTCTCTGTCCCATTTGCCCTTCTATTTAGACTCTGAGCTGGTCAGGGCAGAGACTGTCTCTTACTACATATATGCATAATGCTTAGCACAATAAGGCTGTGATTCACTTAGGGCATCTAAGTGCCATAGTAAGATAGATAGATAGATAGCCATGTTCCACTCTTTCCACATGCTGAAAATGCCTTACCTGCTTGGCACTCTGTGAATTTGGGCTGGGTGGGGGTCATAGAAGAAGAGAGAGAATGGGTAGAAAGGAGAGATTTAAGAGTGCCCCTAAAATTTCAGGACTTTCAGCACTCTACAGCTGTTAGTGTCACAGTCATAGGCACCTCAAGCATTAAACTATTACGGAATAGAACAGGTCAGGCGCTATCCTTCTATCCCCAACACAACTCCCTACCTCCATAGAACTCCTGGTCCAGAGAAACAGAGACCCAAATCTGCCCCAAATTAAAATGCTGCTACTAAACTGCCCACTGCTCCTTCTAGTCAGTCTCTCCTTCTTTCTCTCTCCTTCACTCGTGCACTCCCCATTCACCTTGTTTGTCTCCTTCCCATCTCTCCCCTTCTGCTTTTTGGCTGTTCCCGCCACTGCCCTGCTTTCTCTGTCCTCTCTGTTGAACAAAACCTCCAGCCCCTAGCAGTGCAGGAATGAGTTAAGCCTTGCGGGGTGGAGAGGGAATAGCTCATAACCTAGCAGAGAAAAAGCAATATTCTAGTCTTTGTGCATAACCCCGATCCTCCCTCCATTACACCACCCCTTCAATTTGTCCTCCTTGCCTTTCATCTTTGCTTAGACTGCAAACTCTTTGGGGTAGGGGCCATGTCTTCTTTACGTTCTGTGAAGGCTTAACTCATTTCAGGAATTAAACAAACAGTAATAATGTGACTGTATTATTTCTGCATCTGGTATTTCCCTAGCAGCCTGGCTGAGAGCATTATCTTCATTCTCCTGCTGCCCCTTCTGGCCTCTCTGGGGAAGCACTATACACAGAAGCCACTCAAACATGTTCTTTCTCTGTAGGAGTCTCTAGCAAAAGCATTTCAAAAAGACAGAGGCAAGGACCTATAGGAAAATCTAGGATCTCCAGGACCCTATGCCAGATTTTAACTGCCTGACAATAAACTGAAGATAAGTTTACACCTCACAGAAAATGTTGCAGACCATCTACACAGCAACCTAATCTTAAATAACTAAACCCCAGCAAACTCCATTTTCCTGCTAGACATAGTCTTCAAGTAGGGCCTTGTTCACAATAGCACTTTTCCCAACATTGGTCTATTACCAGGCATTTCCCAGGTGTGGCAGTAGTAAAATAAAGTCTGTGCCTCGTCAACACCACTGCTTCTGTCATTGCTATCTCTAGTGGCGCTGCACAATGGTGGGAAAAGTGCTGAAGATTCCCAGTGTAGACGTACCCTACATTTCAGATAAGCTGTTGCCTATTATAGGTGGTGTCCATAGTGCAGTTTTATTTGGTAGTTAGAAACCCAGTGCAGCAGGCTGCTTTGGTGCAGGAGACAGTGCAGAGCTACTCTTGTCCAGCTGTCTGTCTGCCCCTAAAAGAAGAAAAAAGAGAAAAGGGACAGTCAAAAGGGAAGAGAAGGAGGTGTCGGAGAAAAACAGAGGAAAAAGACACAAAAGTTGAGAAAAGAAAAGAAAAAGGCATAGGAAGAAGACAGAGAATAGTGATCACTGAAAAAAAAAACCCCAACTTTGGTTTTCCATGTCATTGTCACATACATGATATTGTGCTACCAAAGTCTGGAATTCTTCCTAAAGGAGGGAAGTGGAGAGGAATAAACATCAAAATGACAGGAACAAGGGGTGAACAAACTGATTTGTTCTTGGAAAAACGAATTTGCTACTACAAAGTATCATAACGAAGCAGCATTTTATTGCCTTGATGGCTTTAAAACAGCATAATCAGACACAGGGTCACACTCCACATCCTGGCATTGCCACTAAAGCCTCTCCGTTGCAGACACAAAAGTTAGCAGACCTGTTCCTTCTTAGGACAATGCATTAGATGTTATTTGTGCAGTCTTCAAAAACCGGGCGTGATCATACTCCACTGAAATGCAACGAATGCTTAAAGCAAACCCACCTGTTCCATGTTTCTGTAGCATGTGGGTTCCTGACTTATCTGAGGAGCAGGAGCAGCAGCAACAGGACGGAGTGTTTCCAAGTCACTACTTTTACTGGCCTGGACAATTCCAGTCTGAGTTATGCTGGATGCCAACAAATGAGGAAAAAGAGCAGAGTTGGCCAAATAATTGAGTTGCTTTGCATCCTGAAAAGCTTGGCCATGGAACCTGTTATCTGATGAGCTGCCATTACTGCCCATCATACTGCTGTCCGCTGAGTAGCAGAAAGGTGTAAACTGCTCATTGAATGAGCCATTTGTGCTGTTTATCTGGCCCGGGGGCAAAAAGCACATGGCCTTCTCAGTGATTTTGCTAGGAGGTGGCACCAGTCTTGCTGGATCATTGACAGTCCACTCAGCCATATGGTCTTCATCTTTGAGAGTATCTGCTTCCATATCCCGCTTTCTGAACTCCAGCCTATGGACATACAGTGAATGCAGTTGAAAATAAACATGCAGTGCTAAAGCGATGGCCCGAGTGGATCCTACCGACTGCCTCCATTTTTTTTTAAATCCCAGAGCTTTTTTTCAGGCTGAAGGCAAAGGATCTTCCATCCATAATAACTGTCAAAATATAATATTATGCAGTCAGGAAACATGCAATAAAACAAAAACAAAATCCCACATTTCTACCACTTGGAGTGTCCTGCCTGCCAACTGCTCACTATTAAATTCTAAAGTGTCACACAGATGGGAAGCAGATATAAAGGTATATTGCAAAAAAATATACTTTTCAACACCAAAAACATCCTTCAGAAGTGAGCTGACTAGTCCCTTAGCTTCACCGTAAGCCTTTAGGATCAGAAAAATCTGCTTAGTGGCCAAACACCACAGAAGAAACATGGAGAACAGAAGATGATTATGCAAAAAAATGCACTACTGAAAAATTGACAGGTTTAGGTTACTCAGAAGAAAGCTTAGTTATAAAAGGAAGGGGAAAATACACTCATGACTTACAGCCCATTCTCTTAGATTCACGTGATTAAGAAGATTAGGGCATCTGAAAGCTGTGGGACAAAAAAAAGCACATTTCCCTGTTTTAAACTTTCTTAACCTCTCAGTCCTCCTCTCTGAGAGAGTGGCTGGCTGCTCCATTTTCTACATAGTTGACTTTTAAAAGTATTTCATCAGTTGAACTTAGTGGGGTCTTCCAGGTATATTTTAATTAGATTCACAGGCAGTTTCCTGCCTTCTATGAAATGCAATATAGGCTCTCCAATAGATTAAGCTCCAGGATAATTAATGACTTTTTCTCCTGACTTTAATTTAAGTGGTTTGAATAAGATGTACGGACCCATTTTATCTTGATCAGTTATTATTATTAGTTAAGCACTGAAGATGTGCTTGGTGCTGGTACAATACCTAAAATACGGTCTCTGCTTTTAACAGCTTGCAATTGGTATCTCACTGTTGTTTGCATTAGATGTGTAATTTTATTCATGTGAGTAGCCGCATTGAGTTCAATGGGACATGTGATCTGAGTAAAGTTAGGTCTAAGTGCTTGCAGGCTAGAGGAGAAGACAGTGAGAAGACAAGATGTCCTGGGAAATGAGAGGTGGGAATAATGAACAATTTGAAAAAAATTAAACTAAGATATTAATCAGTCAAAGTTTAACACCTTCTTCTTTGTTTGAAATGCAGGCTTCCAGTTTCAGAAGGTGTCTGGAATACAAAAATTTAAATTACAATAGTATCAGAGGGGTAGCCATGTTAGTCTGGATCTGTAAAAAGCAACAGAGGGTCCTGTGGCACCTTTAAGACTAACAGATGTATTGGAGCATAAGCTTTTGTGGGTGAATGCCCACTTCATCAGACCTATGCGTCTGACGAAGTGGGCATGCACCCACGAAAGCTTATGCTCCAATACATCTGTTAGTCTCAAAGATGCCACAGGACCCTCTGTTGCGAAATTACAATAGAAACTCAAAAATCTTAGTCCATCAGAGTACCCATAACATTTCATATATCAGTATGTTATGTGAATGTACAGGGTGTATCACAGATAGTGTACAGGGTTTGCTGTTGCCAGGGCTAGCACTAGCCTTTCATCTCCAGAGAGCTGGGTTCCAATCCTGGATAAGTCCAGAAGTAAACGTGAGTTTGGTGGTCTCATCTTGGTGCCTACAGGACAAGCATTTGCACTGCATGACTGGCAATTTCTATTTAAATACAGCATGGCAGGGTGGCTTGTGCAGAGTCTGTCGGCACCAAGGAGTCCATCCTCCTCTGAGGGCACACACATAATTCCAATTTATGTTTCTGGGAGTCAGTCGCACCTCAGGGGAGGCAACTTCAGTTACCAGAGTCATTGAAAAATCAAGTTGAAAGGTTATGTTGGTTAAAAGGTATGTATAGTGAATATCGGGCTAAGAATCCAAAAGCCAACACAACAGAATGCAGAATGAAGACACAGGAGAAAAAGAAAACCAAGACAGAAGTAAAACCCGATCATTAAAATTATCTGGCAGACATGAAAGTGAAAATATTAGCATAGTAAATAATATTTTATCTTAATTTTCAAGCAGAGTAGACTTCTCTTATTTGAATAATTGCAAGAATATAATATTCAGCATTCAACTACTAAACCTACATATTGTATGTTAAAAGACTAGCACTAACAAACTTTATACATTAGAATCCTGTTCCAGGAATTAATATTTCTATTAGTTATGAGCCCTAGAGAAGGTACATTTTGTAGATTACTTTGTACTACTTTTACTTTGAGTGTGGTTTTATCGTAAGGGTTTTCTTTTAATATCCTCTCCTGGCCTCCTTTAAGCTTTCCTTGTGAGCTAGTGCAGTTGACAAGCATGGAGCTGTAGTAATAAAATTATTGTACGTGCCAAACACTAAACAATCCATCACTCTGATATGATTAGTGATTTGGGCTGCTGAGAATGAAGCACAATGAATATTTTCAGGCACTTTGGACATGACATTACATGCTGTTGCTTCCAGGCTGCCAGATTTTATCATGCATAGCATAAGCTTAATTCCTTGAATGCCATATATTAATCTCACTCAAGGCCCCAGACAATTCTATTGGCTGTCACTGATTAGAAATGGAAGAGCCCTGCATCAGCATTGACCTTCTCTTTTCTTCCTCTCCTGAGATCCTCAGTGTTGGGAGAATTCATGATCACTGATCCAGTGTTTCCAGATCCACTTATTATGATTAGTACCACTTGCCTCGCTCCAGATCCAGATGCCAAAGTCAGAGTGAGGACAAGAGTATCAGTTATAAGTAGGCTTGGCAGAATTTGATTTTTTTTTAAATAATTTTGACCAATAATATTGACTTTTATTGTTAAATATTTTATTCTATTTTTATCAATTTAAATAGTCACAGATGCACAAAATTATGGGCTTTAAGCTTATTTTTATCTATTTAAATTTTCATTGTTGTGGGAAGTTATGGAGGGGTCAGAGGATATGGGAAGGTCAGACAATAATTATTAATGAAGTAGATGTTGAGATTCAAAAAGTTTTACACTTTATAATGGTTAAACACAAACTGTCAACATCACATGTTTAGATATACAAAGTAAATATCTTTACATCAAACCCTAATAAGTTCTCACGCAGCCTTTTTCTTATTTTGCCCATCTGTATTTTCGATTATTGTCAATGGAAATATTTTTTCAACAGTATGTGTGTGTACTGTGAAATCGATGTTTACTGACATTTACCCAATAAAAATCTAATCCTTCCAAGTCTAGTTATAAGACGGGGGTGAACTGGACTGAAGATATTCAGGGCTGGTATATACTAAAAGTTAGATTGACCCAGCCACCTTGCTCGGGGATGTGAAAAATCTATCCCCCTGAGCAACGTAGTTAAGCGGATCTAAACCCTGGTGTAGACAATGCTAGGTTGACGGAGAAATTCTTGAGGAGGTGGATTAAAATTACAGCAATGGGAGAACCCCTCCTGGCTGCTGAGATAGTGTCTACACTGAAGTGCTACAGCAGCACAGCTGCAGCCATCAACTACAAAACCCTCAGCTACAAACACGCTGACTGGAGGAGATATCCACTATCAGCAGGCACTTAATTAAGAAGCTTAAGTAGCAACAACAAGACTCACATTTGCCTCTTTAGAAATCCAAGACCAATAAGATAGATGTCTGTCAATGTGGGGGTTTTCTGTAGTACCCATCACTGTACTATCTAGGTGCTCCCCTGGTAAATTAAATGTGCCTGGTGAAATATTCTGCTCTTCTCCTTTCTCTCAAATAAAAAAGCATTGTTTGGGGAATGATATTATAGGTGGGGCTGGTAGCCCCACCGGTTACTAAATTAGCCTGACATTTCTATTATAAGCAACTGAAAACAGGTTCTTATAATGTTGCCAAACTGGAAATGTTTGGGTTGAAATGTCCCATGCTGGATGTCTGCTTCTGGTTGAATTTTTTTGGAAATGTTCAGCCAAAACAGTTCAGTCATTTCCGAGAATGAGACTAGGAAATAATCTGTTGTTTTGCCCAAGTTAAAACATTTCTGACAACCTTTCCTTTGAAAAGCGTTGGCCTGTCCATGCTTTGAAGTGGGGGCTTGTAATTTGGAAGGAGGGTGGCCTTTGTGTCAGAGATGCATCTTTTGCTATTCCTGTGAAAATCCACCGAAATTTGGCCAAGTTATAAACCTTTGAAAAAACTCAGTTTGCACATGCGCAGTAGAGACTTCTTAGATTTAGAAGTTAAAATCTCCAACACATCTGTGAGCAGTGAGCATGCTCTATCCCCTCACAGCTCCTAGTGCTGACCAGACCATGCATGCACCATTCTCACAGGGCAACTGAGCATGCTCCAGCCCCTCACAGTTCTTATATTAGACCAGACTACACATGCACCATCCCCACAGAATGAGCATGCTCCCTCCATACTAGGGATACAGGCACTAGTGTGCGGCTGGGCACCAGAACTGAGAGCAAAAAGCCTGTCTCTCCTGTGCTCCCAATTACCCCCCTGCTGGCACCCAGGCAGCCCAGACGGGTACTTGAACACAGTGTGGACAAGAGCCAGAGATTGGAATTTGGAGGAGGAGGCTGAGAGGCGGGGCGGCTCTAGCTTTTTTGCCGCTCCAAGCACAGCAGGCAGGCTGCCTTTGGCGGCATGCCTGCGGGAGGTCCCTTGTCCCGCGGATTCGGTGGCATGCCTGCGGGAGGTCTGCTGGTCCCGCGGCTTCAGCGTACCCGCCGCCAAATTGCCGCCAAATCTGCGGGACCGGTGGACCTCCCGCAGGCAAGCCGCCGAAGGCTGCCTGACTGCCGCCCTTGCAGGGCGCCCCCCACGGCTTGCCGCCCCAGGCACGCACTTGGAGCGCTGGTGCCTGGAGCCGCCGCTGCTGAGAGGGGTAGATTGGGGCAAGAAGCTGGGGAAGGCAGGGATACAGAGTGGATGAGAAGCCTGGGGAGGGATACTGAGACCCAATGGGGATAGGACACAGGAGAAGTGGAGAGGATGACGGGAAACCAGGGGAAGAGAGAGGCAGATTGGGGCATAGGGAGGAACCTGGGACTGGCTGAGCAAGGAGATTGGAGACAAGGAACCAGGGTGGTGGTAGTGGGACTGGGAATGGCTGGGCAAAAATAGGAAAAGTACCTGCTGAGAGACTGGGACTGAAAGGGGATATTGGAACAGGTAGTCCTGAGCGGTAAGACTAGAACTTTCTAGCAAGGATACTAAGAATAGGATAAGCAGTCTGAGAAGCAGAGACTGGAAATAGGACAAAGAGCCAGGGTGGGGAAGAGACAGGACTGAGGCAGGGATAGGGTGGAGGGCTTGAGATAGAAGGGGTCAAGCGTGGGCGGAAATGGACAGAAGAATCTGTGCCCACTACAGAACACACTCTTACAGAGCTTGGAATGGAACCGAAGATTCCTGAGTCTCACCATTCATCTGTTGCCTGCCAATATCTTGAAACACACTGGCAAAGTGATCCACTCTCCTCTAGTGCAGCTCTACCTAGAGGATGACAACATACTACTTCTACCAGTTACTCCTCTAACTCAAGTGACAGAGGTCTGTGTGGTGGATCTCAAGGTTCCAGTGCTGCTGATGACCTATGTGGTGGTCAATATAATGCCGGATTAGGGATTTATGTTTTTTTCAGTTTGCTTTTCTAAAAAACTAAGAAATTATACCCCCAAAAAAACCAATGTGAAAAAACATTATTAGGTTGCAAAAATTAGTAAATGCCAGGTTGCTTGTGCAATCTTAATTTGTTCCCCTTGTGTGTATGTGTTATAATACAGCCTTTATCCATCCAAGTGATCATCACATACTATTTTTCCCACAGAACCCTGTCTCATTCAGTACACAAGCTAGATGGTGCTCTGGAGGTGAATCAGTGTTGTGCAGTGGAGGAGACTCTTGTCTGCACTTCACACTGCTTCACTTGTTGCAGAAGTGGGAAGGTGTGTACTTAATGTGGTTCTGGGAGATGGCGGGCTTACCGCTCAGAGCTAAAGGCCCTTCCCCTCAGTTGAGGGAGAGGGGGCCAGCGAACCTAGGCCACAAGTAACAGTGAGGGACAACAAATGTAAAACCCGGGGATGGGAGTGAAGATCATAGGTGAAAATCAAGTAACCAGAAGGGGACACTAAGCAAAGAACCCCCGATAGCACCCACTGCTCCTCAAAGGCATTTAAGGAGTCACTGGATACTACCCAGAGGAACTCTGCTCAGAGGCATGACCGAACAAAAGAACAGAAATAGGCCCTGCAGTCGCCTAGCACCACTCTTATCCAGCTTCCTCCTCTTGGTGTGATGGACGGCTACTGATCAGGCTGATCAACCCCCTCGCCTAGCACTTCTGGGGATGACTCTCAAAAATAATAATACAATTCTGCTTTGATACCAGTGGAGTAAAAAGATGACATGCCCATGTGTGTACAAGTCCCTCTGTGTTCAGATACACCTGAAGTCTTGTGAACTTGGTAACAAATTTCTTTACCTATTTTTTAAATAATTAAAATAACAGATTAGAACTGTAATCAGAATTTTAAATCAGTTCCTTGATTTCCAGTTCCAGTAAAAACAATTCTCATTAAAATGTAGGGCAATACATTGCCTTTTTTTTCCCCTTGTGAGATAAAAACAAAATCTTTGCA